TGGGAGATTAGCACGATGTAAGTGTGAGTTATTAGCGTGTAACTGGGAGATTAGCATGATGTTGGTGTGAGGGATTAGTGTGTAACTGGTCACGGAAGTAGCTATGTTAAAGTCAGGGTTTACGTATCAGCAGAGGAATTTAGCGTTGCTAGTGGCCGTGTTAGAGTGTTGGATTAGCAGGGTGTTAAGGTCATCAAGTCATCAATTAGCGTGTAACTGGGAGATTAGCATGATGTTGGTGTGAGTTATTAGCGTGTAACTGGTCACGGAAGTAGCTATGTTAAAGTCAGAGTTTACATATCAACAGGAGAATTTAGCGTTGACGTAGCTGTGTTAATGTGTTGGATTAGCAGGGTGTTAAGGTCGTCAATTAGCGTGTAACTGGGAGATTAGCATGATGTTGGTGTGAGTTATTAGCGTGTAACTGGGAGATTAGCACGATGTTAGTGTGAGTTATTAGCGTGTAACTGGGAGATTAGCACGATGTTAGTGTGAGGGATTAGCGTGTAACTGGTCACGGAAGTAGCTATATTAAAGTCAGAGTTTACGTATCAATAGAGGAATTTAGCGTTGCTAGTGGCCGTGTTAGAGTGTTGGATTAGCAGGGTGTTCAAGTCGGACGTTAGCGTGTAACGGGGAGATTAGCACGATGTTAGTGTGAGTTATTAGCGTGTAACTGGGAGATTAGCACGATGTTGGTGTGAGTTATTAGCGTGTAACTGGGAGATTAGCACGATGTTAGTGTGAGTTATTAGCGTGTAACTGGGAGATTAGCATGATGTTAGTGTGAGGGATTAGCGTGTAACTGGGAGATTAGCACGATGTTAGTGTGAGGGATTAGCGTGTAACTGGTCATGGAAGTAGCTATGTTAAAGTCAGAGTTTACATATCAACAAAATAATTTAGCATTGAAGTAGCCGTGGTAAAGTGTTGGATTAGCAGGGTGTTAAAGTCAGAAATTAGCGTGTAACTGGGAGATTAGCACGATGTTGGTGTGAGGGATTAGTGTGTAACTGGTCACGGAAGTAGCTATGTTAAAGTCAGAGTTTACGTATCAGCAGAGGAATTTAGCGTTGAAGTAGCCGTGTTAAAGTGTTGGATTAGCAGGGTGTTAAAGTCATCAATTAGCGTGTAACTGGGAGATTAGCATGATGTTAGTGTGAGTTATTAGCATGTAACTGGGAGATTAGCACGATGTTAGTGTGAGTTATTAGCGTGTAACTGGGAGATTAGCATGATGTTAATGTGAGTTATTAGCATGTAACTAGGAGATTAGCATGATGTTAGTGTGAGTTATTAGCATGTAACTGGGAGATTAGCACGATGTTGGTGTGAGGGATTAGTGTGTAACTGGTCACGGAAGTAGCTACGTTAAAGTCAGAGTTTACGTATCGGCAGAGGAATTTAGCGTTGCTAGTGGCCGTGTTAGAGTGTTGGATTAGCAGGGTGTTAAGGTCAGAAGTTAGCGTGTAACTGGGAGATTAGCATGATGTTAGTGTGAGGGATTAGTGTGTAACTGGTCACGGAAGTAGCTACGTTAAAGTCAGAGTTTACGTATCAGCAGAGGAATTTAGCGTTGAAGTGGCCGTGTTAAAGTGTTGGATTAGCAGGGTGTTAAAGTCGTCAATTAGCGTGTAACTGGGAGATTAGCACGATGTTAGTGTGAGTTATTAGCATGTAACTGGGAGATTAGCATGATGTTAGTGTGAGTTATTAGCGTGTAACTGGGAGATTAGCACCATGATGTTAGTGTGAGTTATTAGCATGTAACTGGTCACGGAAGTAGCTACGTTAAAGTCAGAGTTTACATATCAGCAGAGGAATTTAGCATTGAAGTAGCCGTGTTAATGTGTTGGATTAGCAGGGTGTTAAGGTCAGAAGTTAGCGTGTAACTGGGAGATTAGCATGATGTTAGTGTGAGGGATCAGCGTGTAACTGGTCACGGAAGTAGCCAAGGTTAGTGAAGAGAATCGACTGAGATGAATTCAAATGATTTCAATCGCTGTAGCTTTGATCAATAACAAACCGAAGCAGTGCTTGTGTCGATACAGAAAACCAATTTTTGTCTTTTTACCAATATAATCAATGCGATTTTGATGACCCAAAGCTGCTTATAGATCTTGACTTGCTCTATTTGATAATTATTTAAGGAATGTAATTGGGGAACAATAACTTCCTGCTTTAGTCCTGGTGACTGAGTGGGTGTGTAGGTGAGTGAGTGACCGAGTGAGTGAGTGACGGACTGAGTGACTGAGTGAGTGACGGACTGAGTGACCGAGTGAGTGAGTGACTGAGTGAGTGGCTGAGTGAGTGGCTGAGTGAGTGACTGAGTGACTGACTGAGTGACTGAGTGAGTGGCTGAGTGAGTGGCTGAGTGAGTGGCTGAGTGAGTGGCTGAGTGAGTGGCTGAGTGACTGACTGAGTGACTGACTGAGTGGCTGACTGAGTGACTGAGTGAGTGGCTGAGTGAGTGGCTGAGTGAGTGGCTGAGTGAGTGGCTGAGTGAGTGGCTGAGTGAGTGGCTGAGTGAGTGGCTGAGTGAGTGGCTGAGTGAGTGGCTGAGTGAGTGGCTGAGTGAGTGAGTGACTGAGTGAGTGACTGAGTGAGTGACAGCGAGTGACTGGGCGAGTGACTGAGCGAGTGACTGAGCGAGTGACTGAGCGTGTGACTGAGCGAGTGAGTGACTGAGTGAGTGACTGAGTGAGTGACTGAGTGAGTGACTGAGTGAGTGACTGAGTGTGTGACGGCGAGTGACTGGGCGAGTGACTGAGTGAGTGACTGAGTGAGTGAGTGACTGAGTGAGTGACTGAGTGTGTGACAGCGAGTGACTGGGCGAGTGACTGGGCGAGTGACTAAGTGACTGACTGAGTGAGTGACTGACTGAGCGACTGACTGACTGAGTGAGTGACTGGGTGACTGATTTAGTGACTGATTAAGTCGTTCACAACACACATTACAATTCCAGGCAGGTCCGTCACACGCTAATACCTCACTATTCTTGGTCCTTTTGGTAAAGTTGCGTAGGTAGAAAATAAAAAATAAAAATTTTTAAAATTAAAAACAAATCCACGACGTTACGGTAAAGTCTCGTAGCTAGAAATTTAAATTAAAAGTAAAATCAAATTAAAAATGAAAGCAAAATTAAAACACGGCGTTGTAATGGCAAAACCGTGGTTTTATTTTGGCTTTAATTTTAATAAATTTTTTAATATTTTAATTTTCCTTATCCACGGTACTTTACCGAAAGAGCCAAGCAATACGAATTTGTGCAGTCAGCAAAGTTTTGAGTCGACATTTATTACATAACTACACACACAGACACACACACACACTCATACACAGACACTCATACACACACACTCATACACAACAACAACCGCCATTCGCCACTAAGTGGCGGTGACGTCACCACGACGCTTGTGCCAGGCTATGTGCACCCTGAGGCTACCACGTGAAGTGTCGAACGCCCGCTGGCAGGAGGTCACGGGGCAGACCCAGCAGGTGCCACGGGTCGACTGACTGAGATGACTGGCTGATGCACCACCTGTGCCCCCTACTGTGCCAACCTGCTGTGCTTTAGCCACCCGGCGCTCCGCTCGTTGTTGTGAGCGTCGCTCCTCCGCCCTCCGTTGATGTTGGAGGGCGACTGCCTCCAACTGCCCAGTAGCATCCTTCACGAGCCTCCTCCACTGAGGCCGATCTTGACACCGCTGGTACCAGTCATAGGCAAGTCCACTCAGCTCCACGTCCTCCTGTACCACATCACTCCATCTCTTCTCTAGCCCGTGCTGCGCCCGCTTAGCCCCCTCGATCCGGCCGAACAAAAGCTGTTTCGGCATGCGGTGGCTGGGCATGCGGGCTACATGACCCAGCCAACGCAGCCTTGCCTGCCGGAGGAGCTCACCGATGGGACCTTGCCCAGATCTTTCAAGGATTTGTGAGCTCCTTACACAATCCAGCCTGGTTAAACCCAGGATGGATCGTAGGCAGGCCAGCCTAAATGTTTCTCACCGGCGAAAATGTTCCATTAGGGGGGTCCACGTTTCGCAAGCGTAGAGAAGGGAGGGAATGACCGTGGCCGAGAAGACCTGAAGCTTAGTGCGGAGCGACAGACCAGGTAGCTTCCACACAGCGTTACGCAACCGATGAAAAGATATTGCCGCTCGACTGATTGGGAGTGGAGCCAGACAGATACACACACGCAGACACACACGCAGACACACACACGCAGACACACAGACACACACACAGATACACAGACACAGTCACACACAGACACACACACACAGAGACACACACACACACACAGAGACACAGACACACGCAGACACAGTCACACAGACACAGTCACACAGACACAGTCACACAGACACACACACACAGACACACAGAGACACACAGACACACAGCCACACACACAGCCACACACATCGCAGACACACATCGCAGACACACACACAGACAGTCACACAGACACACCACACACAGTCACAAACACACACACAGTCACACAGACACACCACACACAGTCACACAGACACACACACAGACACACCAGACACACACACACAGTCACACACAGTCACACACACACACACAGACACCTCTGATCTCGAATCGTGATGGGGTTCAACAACAACAACTACTACTACGATGATGATGATGATGAGGACATCGCCATTCAGCCGCATTATTTAACACCGGGAGGGCATTGTGGATGGCTTCGCCGATGCTGGCAAATGGACAAGAATACGTCAGACGCCATTTCGCTCGAGACTGCCAGTGTAGTGGGTCCACTCTTCAGCTGAAACTCAAACTGGCGGGCTAAAGTGGTGAAACGTTTTCCCCTTGTGTCAGCGTGAATGGCTGTTGTTGTTTCTAACTGATTGGCCGTGTTCGCTTGGCCGAGGGTTTGTTGAGACACGTTTGATAAATAAATAGCCCGGGCGCAAAAATATCTTTAGGAGCTTCTACTTAAAAACCTTACACACACACATATATATAATAAAAACTGTAATATTATTGTCGTGACACGTTTAATAAATAAATAGCCCGGGCGCAAAAATATCCTTCGGAGCTTCTACTTAAAAACCTTACACACACACACATATAGTAAAATAATATTATTGTGGTGACACGTTTATAAACAAATAGCTCGGAGCTTCTACTTAAAAACCTTACACACACACATAGTAAAAACTGTAATATTATTGTCGAGACACATTTATAAATAAATAGCCCGGGCGAAAAATATCCTTAGGAGTTTCTACTTAAAAACCTTACACACACATATAGTAAAAACTGTAATATTATTGTCGTGACACGTTTAATAAATAAATAGCCCGGGCGAAAAATATCCTTCGGAGCTTCTACTTAAAAACCTTACACACACACATATATAGGCAAATTCCAAAAACAGTTTAATGTGTGTAAGAAAAAAAGCATTTGTGTCTGAATATAACGTGCTTAGGAGAATAAAAACTGTAATATTAATCAGTGGAACTGTCAAACCCAAACGATGGGCCACGTGATGATGCGTTGTGGCCCCCATCCTGTCAATGTAGGAATAACAGGGCTTGCATTAGCGGTCTCCTGAAGCCCTTTAAGTTGCCAGCAGACCTGAACGTTGACATTGGCTGGTTGGCCGTGTCACGTGGTGGAGGCTTTGTGACACGTTTATGAATAATAACGCCTTCAAACCCTCCAAAAAGGTTTATTATGAATAGCTAGATACTACTACTACTAGCTAGATACTACTACTACTAGATACTACTACTACTAGCTAGATACTACTACTACTAGATACTACTACTACTAGCTAGATACTACTACTACTAGCTAGCTAGATACTACTACTTACTAGGTAGATACTACTAGCTAGTTACTACTTACTAGCTAGATACTACTTACTAGCTAGATACTACTACTTACTAGCTAGATACTACTACTACTAGCTAGATACTACTACTACTAGCTAGATACTACTACTTACTAGCTAGATACTACTACTAGCTAGATACTACTACTACTTACTAGCTAGATACTACTACTTACTAGCTAGATACTACTACTAGCTAGATACTACTTACTAGCTAGATACTACTACTAGCTAGCTAGTTACTACTTACTAGCTAGCTAGATACTACTACTAGCTAGATACTACTACTTACTAGCTAGATACTACTAGTTAGATACTACTACTACTAGCTAGATACTACTACTACTAGCTAGATACTACTACTACTAGCTAGATACTACTACTACTAGCTAGATACTACTACTACTAGCTAGATACTACTACTAGCTAGATACTACTACTACTACTAGCTAGACACTACTACTACTCACTAGCTAGACACTACTACTACTTACTAGCTAGATACTACTACTTACTAGCTAGATACTACTATTACTCACTAGCTAGACACTACTACTACTTACTAGCTAGATACTACTACTTACTAGCTAGATACTACTACTAGCTAGATACTACTACTAGGTAGATACTACTACTAGCTAGATACTACTACTAGCTAGATACTACTACTAGCTAGATACTACTACTTACTAGCTAGCTAGATACTACTACTAGCTAGATACTACTACTAGCTAGATACTACTACTACTACTTACTAGCTAGATACTACTACTAGCTAGATACTACTACTACTACTTACTAGCTAGATACTACTACTACTAGCTAGATACTACTACTACTAGCTAGATACTACTACTACTAGCTAGATACTACTACTACTAGCTAGATACTACTACTTACTAGCTAGATACTACTACTAGCTAGATACTACTACTAGCTAGATACTACTACTACTTACTAGCTAGACACTACTACTACTTACTAGCTAGATACTACTACTTACTAGCTAGATACTACTACTAGCTAGATACTACTACTTACTAGCTAGATACTACTACTTACTAGCTAGATACTACTACTAGCTAGATACTACTACTAGCTAGCTAGTTACTACTTACTAGCTAGATACTACTACTAGCTAGATACTACTACTACTAGCTAGCTAGATACTACTAGCTAGATACTACTACTTACTTACTAGCTAGATACTACTAGCTAGATACTACTACTTACTTACTAGCTAGATACTACTACTACTAGGTAGATACTACTACTAGGTAGATACTACTACTTACTAGCTAGATACTACTACTACTAGCTAGATACTACTACTACTTACTAGCTAGATACTACTACTTACTAGCTAGATACTACTACTTACTAGCTAGATACTACTACTACTAGCTAGATACTACTACTAATAGCTAGATACTACTACTAATAGCTAGATACTACTACTAATAGCTAGATACTACTACTACTAGCTAGATACTACTACTACTTACTAGCTAGATACTACTACTAATAGCTAGATACTACTACTTACTAGCTAGATACTACTACTACTTACTAGCTAGATACTACTACTCACTACTAGCTAGATACTACTACTAGCTAGATACTACTACTACTAGCTAGATACTACTACTTAGTAGCGACTCACCCACTCACTCACCCACCCACTCACCCACACACCCACTCACCCACCCACTCACCCACTCACCCACCCACTCACTCACCCACTCACCCACCCACTCACCCACTCACCCACCCACTCACACACCCACCCACTCACCACTCACTCACCCACTCACCCACCCACTCACTCACCCACTCACCCACCCACCCACTCACCCACCCACCCACCCACTCACTCACCCACTCACTCACCCACTCACCCACCCACCCACCCACTCACTCCCTCATCCACTCACTCACCCACTCACCCACCCACTCACCCACTCACTCACTCACCCACTCACCCACACACTCACCCACTCACTCACCCACTCACCCACCCACTCACCCACCCACCGCCTCACCCACTCACCCACTCACTCACTCACCCACCCACTCACCCACCCACTCCCTCATCCACTCACTCACCCACTCACCCACCCACCCACTCACTCCCTCATCCACTCACTCACCCACTCACCCACTCACCCACCCACTCACCCACTCACTCACTCACCCACTCACCCACACACTCACCCACTCACTCACCCACTCACCCACCCACCGCCTCACCCACTCACCCACTCACTCACTCACCCACCCACTCACCCACCCACTCCCTCATCCACTCACCCACCCACTCCCTCATCCACTCACTCACCCACTCACCCACCCACCCACTCACCCACCCACCCACTCACCCACCCACCGCCTCACTCACCCACTCACTCACTCACCCACCCACTCACCCACCCACTCCCTCATCCACTCACCCACCCACTCCCTCATCCACTCACTCACCCACTCACTCAACCCACTCACTCACCCACCCACCCACCCACTCACCCACTCATCCCCCTCTCCCCCCCCCCCCCCCCCCCCCTCCCCAAAGGGTTGTCCACAGAAGCAGCTCAGCATGAAGTACATCCTGGTGACCGGGGGGGTGATCTCTGGGATCGGGAAGGGAATCATCGCAAGCTCTGTAGGAACAATTCTCAAGGCCTGCGGACTGAGAGTCACGGCCATCAAGATAGACCCCTACATCAACATTGATGCTGGGACATTCTCTCCTTATGAGCACGGTGAGTGGGTGGGTGAGTGGGTGGGTGAGTGGGTGGGTGGGTGAGTGAGTGGGTGGGTGGGTGAGTGAGTGGGTGGGTGTGTGAGTGGGTGGGTGGGTGAGTGAGTGGGCGGGTGGGTGGGTGGGTGAGTGAGTGAGTGGGTGAGTGGGTGGGTGGGTGAGTGAGTGGGTGGGTGGGTGTGTGAGTGGGTGGGTGTGTGAGTGGGTGGGTGTGTGTGTGAGTGGGTGTGTGGGTGGGTGTGTGAATAGGTGGGTGGGTGTGTGAGTGAGTGAGTGGGTGGGTGGGTGTGTGAGTGGGTGGGTGGGTGTGTGAGTGGGTGGGTGAGTGGGTGGGTGTGTGGGTGGGTGGGTGTGTGAGTGGGTGGGTGTGTGAGTGAGTGAGTGGGTGGGTGGGTGTGTGAGTGGGTGGGTGGGTGTGTGAGTGGGTGGGTGGGTGGGTGTGTGAGTGGGTGTGTGTGTGAGTGGGTGTGTGGGTGGGTGTGTGAGTAGGTGGGTGGGTGTGTGAGTGAGTGAGTGGGTGGGTGGGTGTGTGAGTGGGTGGGTGGGTGTGTGAGTGGGTGGGTGTGTGAGTGGGTGGGTGTGTGAGTGGGTGGGTGGGTGTGTGAGTGGGTGGGTGTGTGGGTGGGTGGGTGTGTGAGTGGGTGGGTGGGTGTGTGAGTGGGTGGGTGGGTGGGTGTGTGAGTGGGTGGGTGGGTGTGTGAGTGGGTGGGTGGTTGTGTGAGTGGGTGGGTGGGTGTGTGAGTGGGTGGGTGGTTGTGTGAGTGGGTGGGTGTGTGAGTGTGTGAGTGGGTGGGTGAGTGGGTGGGTGGGTGAGTGGGTGAGTGAGTGTGTGGGTGGGTGGGTGGGCGAGTTGGTAGGCGAGTGAGTGAGTGGGCGGGTGGGTGGGTGGGCGGGTGAGTGAGTGAGTGGGTGAGTGGGTGATGTGGGTGGGTGTGTGAGTGGGTGGGTGTGTGAGTGGGTGGGTGTGTGGGTGGGTGTGTGAGTGGGTGGGTGGGTGTGTGAGTGAGTGAGTGGGTGTGTGAGTGGGTGGGTGGGTGTGTGAGTGGGTGGGTGAGTGAGTGTAGTGGTTAGCGCTACGCTGGGCTATGAACCCGGCGACCCCGGGGTTCGATTCCCGCTCACGGCCAACACCAGTGACGATTATCTGAACCGGTCCCGGGCCTCCCCTAGGTCGACTCAGCCTCAAATGAGTACCTGGTGTAGCGGTGTGTAAACATCGCCACTGGGGAGACAAAGGCGGTCGGGCGTGGTGCTGGCCACCCACCCCCTCGTGTACCGTTCCGGCCTTCATAGGTGCTCGCTAACAGCACTTGCCCCTACAGTCTGTTACAGGCTACACGGGGATCTTTGTCTTCATCTTTGTGTGTCTGTGTGTGTGCCTATGTGTGTGTGTCTGTCTTGGCCTGGCACAAGCATCGTGGTGACGTCACCGCCACTTAGTGGCGAATGGCGGTTGTTGTGTCTGTCTTTGTGTATGTGTGTGTGTGTCTATGTGTGTGTGTGTCTATGTGTGTGTGTGTCTATGTGTGTGACTGTGTGTGTCTTGTGTGTGTGTCTGTGTGTGTGTCTATGTGTGTGTGTGTGTCTAGGCTTTTCGTTGTTTCTGGAGGAGCCCCGAGGGTAGAGATTCAATCTCCTGGCTCCGCCAATTGGGGTTTGGCCAGGAGACGTCATAGACGCCTGTCCCCCCGGGGCCTCCGGCACAAGCTTAGTTGTTATATATTTCAGTTTAACTCGTGGTCTAGTGGTAATTAATTGAAGGTGGAGGGGTTACCAGCCCCTCGCACCCGTCCAGAGCCCCCGTTTAGCCCCTGTGGTGGTCACAGACGCCATGAGGGGAGAGGCCAATCAGAATTGGACCTCCCCCCACAGCATTGTCCACGACAGAGTTGCCTTGTCCGGCACCGCGAGGAGGTAGGGGGTTGTTTTTTCCGCACAGACTGCCCTACATGACATCATAACAACGGTCTGGACCACTGGACGGGTTCCGCAGGACTGGAAGGATGCCCTGGTGGTCCCCCTCTTTAAGAAGGGGGACCGCACAGACTGTAACAACTACAGGGGCATCTCACTCCTCAGTGTGCCGGGAAAGGTCCTGGCAATGATTATTCAACATCGCCTTGCCAGGCACGCTGAGGAGAGGCTTGCGGAGCCCCAATGCGGTTTCAGGAAAGGGCGGTCCTGCACAGATGCCATATTTTTCTGTCCGTCTGCTACAGCAGAGGTGTAGGGAATTCCAACAAGACCTACATCTCTGCTTTATTGACCTGGTCAAGGCCTATGATACCATCAGTAGGCCTGGGCTCTGGGTTGTTCTTCGTGCTTTTGGAGTACCTGGCCCTCTGCTCTCGATCATTAAGGACCTTCATGATGGTGAGCGGGCCCGGGTAAAACTACGTGGCCGGGAGTCAGAGCCATTCCCTGTACACCAGGGATGTCCTCTGGCTCCCACATTATTTAACATCAATTTTGACCACGTAGTTCGTGAAGCCTTCAATAGCTGTACCGGGGGAATCTCCATATGGTACAGATATAATGGGAGGCTGATCGATGCCCGGGTGCGGTCAAGGGATGGCTCCCTATTGCTCAACCACGTTATGTATGCTGATGATTTGGTAATAGCTGCTCAGTCAGAGGAGGAGTTGGAGACGCTGCTGCTGAGACTGGAGCGTGCCACTAAGAGGTGGGGCCTTACCATCAGCCCCACCAAAACTAAGCACCTGCATGGGTATTTTGTACCATCGGACACTCCACCCCCACAACTCCCAATCGGTGATGGGGCAGTTGTGGATAGAGTGGAGAGTTTCCCATACCTGGGCAGTGTGCTTATGACCGGCTCCAGTTTAACAGCAGAGGTCTCACTCCGAATCAGTCGAGCGGCAATATCTTTTCATCGGTTGCGTAACGCTGTGTGGAAGCTACCTGGTCTGTCGCTCCGCACTAAGCTTCAGGTCTTCTCGGCCACGGTCATTCCCTCCCTTCTCTACGCTTGCGAAACGTGGACCCCCCTGATGGAACATCTTCGCCGGTTAGAAACATTTAGGCTGGCCTGCCTACGATCCATCCTGGGTTTAACCTGCAGGCTGGATTGTGTGAGGAGCTCACAAATCCTTGAAAGATCTGGGCAGGGTCCCATCGGTGAGCTCCTCCGGCGGGCAAGGCTGCGATGGCTGGGTCATGTAGCCCGCATGCCCATCCACCGCATGCCGGTTAGCGCTATGCTGCACTATGAACCTGGCGACCCGGGTTCGATTCCCGCTCACGGCCAACACCAGTGACGATTATCTGAACCGGGGGTGGGTGTGTGAGTGGGTGAGTGGGTGGGTGAGTGGGTGGGTGAGTGGGTGGGTGAGTGGGTGGGTGGGTGGGTGAGTGGGTGGGTGAGTGAGTGGGTGGGTGGGTGTGTGAGTGGGTGGGTGGGTGGGTGTGTGAGTGGGTGGGTGGGTGGGTAGGTGAGTGGGTGGGTGGGTGGGTGGGTGAGTGGGTGGGTGGGTGGGTGAGTGGGTGGGTGGGTGGGTGAGTGGGTGGGTGGGTGTGTGAGTGGGTGGGTGGGTGTGTGAGTGGGTGGGTGGGTGTGTGAGTGGGTGGGTGGGTGGGTGTGTGAGTGGGTGGGTGGGTGAGTGGGTGGGTGGGTGGGTAGGTGGGTGGGTGGGTGGGTGGTTGGGTGGGTGGGTGGGTGGGTGGGTGGGTGGGTGGGTGGGTGGGTAGGTGGGTGGGTGGGTGGGTAGGTGGGTGGGTGGGTGGGTGGGTGGGTAGGTGAGTGAGTGTAGTGGTTAGCGCTACGCTGCACTATGAACCTGGCGACCTGGGTTCGATTCCCGCTCACGGCCAACACCAGTGACGATTATCTGAACCGGTCCCGGACCTCCCCTAGGTCGACTCAGCCTCAAATGAGTACCTGGTGCGGTGTGTAAACATCGCCACTGGGGAGACAAAGGCGGTCGGGCGTGGTGCTGGCCACCCACCCCCTCGTGTACCGTTCCGGCCTTCATAGGTGCTCGCTAACAGCACTTGCCCCTACAGTCTGTTAAGGCTATATGGGGGATCTTTGTGTGTGTCTGTGTGTGTGTGTCTGTGACTGTGTGTGTGTCTGTGTGTCTGTGTGTGTGACTATCTGTGTGTATCTGTGTGTGTCTATCTGTGTGTGTGTCTATCTGTGTGTGTCTATCTGTGTGTCTATCTGTGTGAATGTGTGTCTATCTGTGTGTGTCTATCTGTGTGTATCTGTGTGTGTGTGTCTATCTGTGTGTTTGTCTATCTGTGTGTGTGTGTCTCTGTGTGACTGTCTATCTGTGTGTGTGTGACTGTGTGTGACTGTGTCTGTCTCTGTGTGTGTGACTGTGTTGTGTGTGACTGTTTGTGTGTCTATCTGTGTGTGTGTGTCTGTGTGTGACTGTGTGTCTATCTGTGTGTGTGTGACTGTGTTGTGTGTGACTGTTTGTGTGTCTATCTGTGTGTTTGTCTATCTGTGTGTGTGTGTCTCTGTGTGACTGTCTATCTGTGTGTGTGTGACTGTGTGTGACTGTGTCTGTCTGTGTGTGTGTGACTGTGTTGTGTGTGACTGTTTGTGTGTCTATCTGTGTGTGTGTGACTGTGTTGTGTGTGACTGTTTGTGTGTCTATCTGTGTGTGTGTGTGTCTATCTGCGTGTGTGTCTGTGTGTGACTGTGTGCCTGTCTGTGTGTGTGTCTAGGCGAGGTGTTTGTGCTGGATGATGGTGGTGAGGTGGATCTGGACCTGGGTAATTACGAGCGCTTCCTGGACATCAACTTGTATCGTGACAACAACATCACCACTGGCAAGGTGACCTCGCACACCACACCACGACATTCCCACAACGTTCCCACAACGTTCGCACAACCTTACCTGACCTAACCCGTGATGATGTTGATGATGATGATGGTGATGATGATGTTGATGATGTTGATGATGATGTTGATGATGATGATGTTGATGTTAACGATGATGATGATGTTGATGATGATGTTGATGATGTTGATGATGTTGTTGTTGATGATGATGTTGATGATGATGTTGATGATGATGTTGATTATGTTGATGATGATGATGTTGATGATGATGATGTTGATGATGTTGTTGTTGATGATGATGTTGATGATGATGTTGATGATGTTGATGATGTTGTTGTTGATGATGATGATGTTGATGATGATGTTGATGATGATGATGTTGTTGATGGTGATGATTATGATGTTGATGATGATGTTGATGATGTTGATGATGTTAATGCTGATGTTGATGTTGATGATTATGTAGATGATGTTGATGATATTAATGTTGATGATGTTAATGCTGATGATGATGTTGATGATTATGTAGATGATGTTGATGGTGTTGTTGATGATGATGTTAATGATGATAATGATGATGATGTTTTTGATGATGTTGATGATGATGCTGATGATGATGATGTTGTTAACGATGATGATGTTGATGATGATGATGTTGATGATGTTGATGATGTTGATGATGATGATGTTGTTAACGATGATGATGTTGTTGATGTTGATGATGTTGATGATGTTGTTAACGATGATGATGTTGATGATGTTGATGATGATGATGTTGATGATGTTGATGTTGATGAAGGTGATGATGATGTTGATGATGTTGATGGTGATGTTGATGATGATGATGTTGATGATGTTGTTGTTGATGATGTTGTTAATGATGTTGTTGATGATGTTGTTGATGATGTTGTTGATGATGTTGTTGATGATGATGATGATGATGTTGATGATGTTGATGATGATGTTGATGATGTTGATGATGTTGTTGATGATGTTGTTGTTGATGATGTTGTTGATGATGTTGTTGTTGATGTTGTTGTTGATGTTGTTGTTGATGTTGTTGATGTTGTTGATGATGTTGTTGTTGATGTTTATGTTGATGATGATGTTGTTGTTGATGATGTTGAGGTTGTTGATGATGATGATGATGTTGATGATGTTGTTGATGATGTTGTTGATGATGTTGATGTTGTTGATGTTGATGTTGTTGATGTGTAGGTTTACCAGCAGGTGATAACCAAAGAGCGGAGGGGAGATTACCTGGGAAAAACTGTGCAAGGTGAGTGGTGGTGAGTGAGGGGTGAGTGGGTGAGTGAGTGAGTGGTGGTGAGTGGGTGAGTGAGTGGTGAGTGAGTGGTGAGTGAGGGGTGAGTGGTGAGTGGGTGAGTGGTGAGTGAGTGGTGGTGAGTGGGTGAGTGAGGGGTGAGTGAGGGGTGAGTGAGTGAGTGGGCGAGTGAGGGGTGAGTGGGTGGTGGTGAGTGAGTGGGTGAGTGGTGAGTGAGTGAGTGGTGAGTGGGTGAGTGAGGGGTGAGTGGGTGGTGGTGAGTGAGTGGGTGAGTGGTGAGTGAGTTAGTGGTGAGTGGGTGAGTGAGGGGTGAGTGACTGGTGGGTGAGTGGTGAGTGGTGGGTAGTGAGTGGTGTGTGTGTCTGTGTGTGTGTCTATATGTGTGTGTCTATCTGTGTGTGTGTCTATCTGTGTGTGTGTCTATCTGTGTGTGTGTCTGTGTGTGTGTCTATCTGTGTGTGTGTCTATCTGTGTGTGTGTCTATCTGTGTGTGTGTCTATCTGTGTGTGTGTCTATCTGTGTGTGTGTCTATCTGTGTGTGTGTCTATCTGTGTGTGTGTCTATCTGTGTGTGTCTATCTGTGTGTGTGTCTATCTGTGTGTCTGTCTATCTGTGTGTGTGTCTATCTGTGTGTGTGTCTGTGTGTGTGTATATATCTGTGTGTATCTATCTGTGTGTGTCTATCTGTGTGTGTGTCTATCTGTGTGTGTGTCTATCTGTGTGTGTCTATCTGTGTGTGTCTATCTGTGTGTGTGTCTATCTGTGTGTGTGTCTATCTGTGTGTGTGTCTATCTGTGTGTGTCTATCTGTGTGTGTCTATCTGTGTGTGTGTCTATCTGTGTGTGTCTATCTGTGTGTGTGTCTATCTGTGTGTGTGTCTATCTGTGTGTGTCTATCTGTGTGTCTATCTGTGTGTCTATCTGTGTGTCTATCTGTGTGTGTGTCTATCTGTGTGTGTGTCTATCTTTGTGTCTATTTGTGTGTGTGTCTATCTGTGTGTGTGTCTATCTGTGTGTGTGTCTATCTGTAGTTGTCCCACACATCACCGACGCTGTCCAGGAGTGGGTGATGTCCCAGTGTGTGTCTGTGTGTGTCTATCTGTGTGTGTGTCTATCTGTGTGTGTGTCTATCTGTGTGTGTGTCTATCTGTGTGTGTGTGTCTATCTGTGTGTGTGTCTATCTGTAGTTGTCCCACACATCACCGACGCTGTCCAGGAGTGGGTGATGTCCCAGTGTGTGTCTGTGTGTGTCTATCTGTGTGTGTCTATCTGTGTGTGTGTCTGTGTGTGTGTCTATCTGTGTGTGTGTCTATCTGTGTGTGTGTCTATCTGTGTGTGTGTCTATCTGTGTGTGTGTCTATCTGTGTGTGTGTCTATCTGTGTGTGTGTCTATCTGTGTGTGTGTCTATCTGTGTGTGTGTCTATCTGTGTGTGTCTATCTGTGTGTGTCTATCTGTGTGTGTGTCTATCTGTGTGTGTGTCTATCTGTAGTTGTCCCACACATCACCGACGCTGTCCAGGAGTGGGTGATGTCCCAGTGTGTGTCTGTGTGTGTCTGTGTGTGTCTGTGTGTGTGTCTGTGTGTGTGTCTATCTGTGTGTGTCTATCTGTGTGTGTGTCTATCTGTAGTTGTCCCACACATCACCGACGCTGTCCAGGAGTGGGTGATGTCCCAGTGTGTGTCTGTGTGTGTCTATCTGTGTGTCTATCTGTGTGTGTGTCTGTGTGTGTCTATCTGTGTGTGTGTCTATCTGTGTGTGTGTCTATCTGTGTGTGTGTGTCTATCTGTGTGTGTGTCTATCTGTGTGTGTGTCTATCTGTGTGAGTCTCTGTGTGTGTCTATCTGTGTAAGTCTCTGTGTGTGTCTATCTGTGTGTGTGTCTATCTGTGTGTGTGTCTATCTGTAGTTGTCCCACACATCACCGACGCTGTCCAGGAGTGGGTGATGTCCCAGTGTGTCTCTGTGTGTGTCTATCTGTGTGTGTGTCTATCTGTAGTTGTCCCACACATCACCGACGCTGTCCAGGAGTGGGTGATGTCCCAGTGTGTGTCTGTGTGTCTATCTGTGTGTCTATCTGTGTGTGTCTATCTGTGTGTGTCTATCTGTGTGTGTGTGTCTATCTGTGTGTGTCTATCTGTGTGTGTGTATCTGTGTGTGTGTATCTGTGTGTGTGTGTATCTGTGTGTGTCTATGTGTGTGTGTCTATCTGTGCGTGTCTATCTGTGTGTGTGTCTATCTGTGTGTGTCTATCTGTGTGTCTATCTGTGTGTGTCTATCTGTGTGTGTGTCTATCTGTGTGTAGTTGTCCCACACATCACCGACGCTGTCCAGGAGTGGGTGATGTCCCAGTGTGTGTCTGTGTGTGTGTGTTTATCTGTGTGTGTGTCTATCTGTGTGAGTCTCTGTGTGTGTGTCTATCTGTGTGTGTGTCTATCTGTGTGTGTGTCTATCTGTGTGTGTGTCTATCTGTGTGTGTGTCTATCTGTAGTTGTCCCACACATCACCGACGCTGTCCAGGAGTGGGTGATGTCCCAGTGTGTGTCTGTGTGTGTCTATCTGTGTGTGTGTCTATCTGTGTGTGTGTCTATCTGTAGTTGTCCCACACATCACCGACGCTGTCCAGGAGTGGGTGATGTCCCAGTGTGTGTCTGTGTGTGTGTGTTTATCTGTGTGTGTGTCTATCTGTGTGAGTCTCTGTGTGTGTCTATCTGTGTGTGTGTCTATCTGTGTGTGTGTCTATCTGTGTGTGTGTCTATCTGTGTGTGTGTCTATCTGTAGTTGTCCCACACATCACCGACGCTGTCCAGGAGTGGGTGATGTCCCAGTGTGTGTCTGTGTGTGTCTATCTGTGTGTGTGTCTATCTGTGTGTGTGTCTATCTGTAGTTGTCCCACACATCACCGACGCTGTCCAGGAGTGGGTGATGTCCCAGTGTGTGTCTGTGTGTGTCTATCTGTGTGTGTGTCTGTGTGTGTCTATCTGTGTTTGTGTCTATCTGTGTGTGTGTCTATCTGTGTGTGTGTCTGTGTGTGTCTATCTGTGTTTGTGTCTATCTGTGTGTGTGTCTATCTGTGTGTGTCTATCTGTGTGTGTGTCTATCTGTAGTTGTCCCACACATCACCGACGCTGTCCAGGAGTGGGTGATGTCCCAGTGTGTGTCTGTGTGTGTGTGTTTATCTGTGTGTGTGTCTATCTGTGTGAGTCTCTGTGTGTGTCTATCTGTGTGTGTGTCTATCTGTGTGTCTATCTGTGTGTGTGTCTATCTGTGTGTGTGTCTATCTGTAGTTGTCCCACACATCACCGACGCTGTCCAGGAGTGGGTGATGTCCCAGTGTGTGTCTGTGTGTGTCTATCTGTGTGTGTGTCTATCTGTGTGTGTGTCTATCTGTGTGTGTGTCTATCTGTGTGTGTGTGTATCTGTGTGTGTCTATCTGTGTGTGTCTATCTGTGTGAGTCTTTGTGTGTGTCTATCTGTGTAAGTCTCTGTGTGTGTCTATCTGTGTGTGTCTATCTGTGTGTGTGTCTATCTGTAGTTGTCCCACACATCACCGACGCTGTCCAGGAGTGGGTGATGTCCCAGTGTGTGTCTGTGTGTGTCTGTGTGTGTGTGTGTCTATCTGTGTGTGTGTCTATCTGTAGTTGTCCCACACATCACCGACGCTGTCCAGGAGTGGGTGATGTCCCAGTGTGTGTCTGTGTGTGTCTATCTGTGTGTGTGTCTGTGTGTGTCTATCTGTGTGTGTGTCTATCTGTGTGTGTGTCTATCTGTGTGAGTCTCTGTGTGTGTCTATCTGTGTGTGTCTGTGTGTGTCTATCTGTGTGTGTCTATCTGTGTGTGTGTCTGTGTGTGTGTCTATCTGTGTGTGTGTCTATCTGTAGTTGTCCCACACATCACCGACGCTGTCCAGGAGTGGGTGATGTCCCAGTGTGTGTCTGTGTGTGTCTATCTGTGTGTGTGTCTATCTGTGTGTGTGTCTATCTGTAGTTGTCCCACACATCACCGACGCTGTCCAGGAGTGGGTGATGTCCCAGTGTGTGTCTGTGTGTGTCTATCTGTGTGTGTCTATCTGTGTGTGTCTATCTGTGTGTGTGTCTATCTGTAGTTGTCCCACACATCACCGACGCTGTCCAGGAGTGGGTGATGTCCCAGTGTGTGTCTGTGTGTGTCTGTGTGTGTGTGTATCTGTGTGTGTCTATCTGTGTGTGTGTCTATCTGTGTGTGTGTCTATCTGTGTGAGTCTCTGTGTGTGTCTATCTGTGTGTGTCTATCTGTGTGTGTGTCTGTGTGTGTGTCTATCTGTGTGTGTCTATCTGTGTGTGTGTCTGTGTGTGTGTCTGTGTTTGTGTCTATCTGTGTGTCTATCTGTGTGTGTGTCTATCTGTGTGTATGTCTATCTGTAGTTGTCCCACACATCACCGACGCTGTCCAGGAGTGGGTGATGTCCCAGTGTGTGTCTGTGTGTGTCTGTGTGTGTGTGTATCTGTGTGTGTCTATCTGTGTGTGTGTCTATCTGTGTGAGTCTCTGTGTGTGTCTATCTGTGTAAGTCTCTGTGTGTGTCTATCTGTGTGTGTGTCTGTGTGTGTGTCTATCTGTGTGTGTGTCTATCTGTGTGAGTCTCTGTGTGTGTCTCTGTGTGTGAGTCTCTGTGTGTGTCTCTGTGTGAGTCTCTGTGTGAGTCTCTGTGTGAGTCTCTGTGTGTCTATCTGTGTGTGTGTCTATCTGTGTGTGTCTATCTGTAGTTGTCCCACACATCACCGACGCTGTCCAGGAGTGGGTGATGTCCCAGTGTGTGTCTGTGTGTGTCTATCTGTGTGTGTGTCTATCTGTGTGTGTGTCTATCTGTAGTTGTCCCACACATCACCGACGCTGTCCAGGAGTGGGTGATGTCCCAGTGTGTGTCTGTGTGTGTCTGTGTGTGTCTATCTGTGTGTGTGTCTGTGTGTGTGTCTATCTGTAGTTGTCCCACACATCACCGACGCTGTCCAGGAGTGGGTGATGTCCCAGGCGAAGGTTCCCGTGGACGCTCGAGGAGAGGAGCCTCAAGTCTGTGTCATAGAGGTCAGACACACAGAGACAGATAGACACACGCAGATAGACACACACAGATAGACACACACAGATAGACACACACAGATAGACACACACAGATAGACACAGAGAGATACACAGACACACAGGGACACACACATAGATATACACAGAGACTCACACAGAGACACACACAGAGACACACACACAGACACACACAGAGACACACACAGAGACACACACAGAGACACAAACACAGATAGACACACACAGAGACACACACAGAGACACACACAGAGACACAAACACAGATAGACACACACAGAGACACACACAGAGACACACACAGAGAGACACAGACACAGATAGACACACACACAGAGACAGATAGACACACACACAGAGACAGATAGACACACACAGAGACAGATAGACACACACAGAGACAGATAGACACACACAGATAGACACACACAGATAGACACACACAGAGACACACACAGAGAGACACACAGAGAGACACAGACACAGATAGACACAAACACAGACACAGATAGACACACACACAGAGACACACACAGAGACAGATAGACACACACAGAGACAGAGACACACACAGAGACAGATAGACTCACACAGAGACACACAGAGACACACACAGACACACACACAGAGACACTCACACAGAGACAGATAGACACACACAGATAGACACACACAGAGACTCACACAGATAGACACACACAGAGACACACACAGAGACACACACAGAGACACACAGAGACTCACACAGACTCACACAGAGACACACAGAGACACACACAGAGACACACAGAGACTCACACAGACTCACACACAGAGACTCACACAGAGACACACACAGAGACACAAACAGAGACAGATAGACACACACAGATAGACACACACAGAAACTCACACAGAGACACACAGACACACAGAGACTCAGACAGAGACTCACACAGAGACACACAGAGACACACACAGAGACTCACACACAGAGACACACACACAGAGACAGATAGACACACACAGAGACACACACAGATAGACACACACAGAGACTCACACAGAGACACACACAGAGACACACACAGAGACACACACAGAGACACACACAGAGACTCACACAGAGACAGATAGACACACACAGATAGACACACACAGATAGACACACACAGATAGACACACACAGAGACTCGCACAGAGACACACACACAGATAGACACACACAGAGACACACACACAGATAGACACACACAGAGACACACACAGAGACACACACACAGATAGACACACACAGATAGACACACACAGAGACTCACACAGAGACTCACACAGAGACTCACACAGAGACACACACAGAGACACACACAGAGACTCACACAGAGACACACACAGAGAGACACAGACACAGATAGACACAAACACAGACACAGATAGACACACACACAGAGACACACACAGAGACAGATAGACACACACAGAGACAGATAGACACACACAGATAGACACACACAGATAGACACACACAGATAGACACACACAGAGAGACACACAGAGAGACACAGACACAGATAGACACAAACACAGACACAGATAGACACACACACAGAGACACACACAGAGACAGATAGACACACACAGAGACAGAGACACACACAGAGACAGATAGACTCACACAGAGACACACAGAGACACACACAGACACACACACAGAGACACTCACACAGAGACAGATAGACACACACAGATAGACACACACAGAGACTCACACAGATAGACACACACAGAGACACACACAGAGACACACAGAGACTCACACAGAGACACACAGAGACACACACAGAGACACACAGAGACTCACACAGAGACTCACACAGAGACTCACACAGAGACTCACACAGACTCACACAGAGACACACACAGAGACACAAACAGAGACAGATAGACACACACAGACAGACACACACAGATAGACACACACAGAGACACACACAGAGAGACACAAACACAGACACAGATAGACACACACAGAGACAGATAGACTCACACAGAGACACACACAGACACACACACAGAGACACACACACAGAGACACACACAGAGACTCACACAGAGACTCACACAGAGACACACACAGACACTCACACAGAGACTCACACAGAGACACACACAGAGACACACACAGAGACACACACAGAGACTCACACAGACACTCACACAGAGACTCACACAGAGACTCACACAGAGACTCACACAGAGACTCACACACAGAGACACACAGATATAGACACACAGAGATAGACACACACAGACACACAGAGACACACACATAGATATACACACACAGAGACACACAGACACACACACAGACACACACAGAGACACACACAGAGACAGACACACACAGAGACACACACACAGACACACACACAGACACACACAGAGATACACACACAGATAGACACACACACAGAGATACACACAGCTACACACACAGATAGACACACAAATACACACAGACACACAGAGACACACACAGAGACACGCAGACACACACAGAGACTAACACAGAGACTCACAAAGAGACTCACACAGATAAACACACGTACACACACACTCACACAGACACCCACACAGACACACAGACACAACAACAACCGCCATTCGCCACTAAGTGGCGGTGACGTCACCACGACCCTTGTGCCAGGCTATGTGCACCTTGAGGCCACGTGAAGTGTCGAACGCCCGCTGGCAGGAGGTCACGGGGCAGATTGATACACAGATATACACAGAGATATATCACTCACTCACACGTCACTCACTCACACGTCACTCACTCACTCACACGTCACTCACTCACTCACACGTCACTCACTCACTCACACGTCACTCACTCACTCACACGTCACTCACTCACTCACTAACACGTCACTCACTCACACGTCACTCACTCACACGTCACTCACTCACACGTCACTCACTCACTCACACGTCACTCACTCACTCACACGTCACTCACTCACTCACACGTCACTCACTCACTCACACGTCACTCACTCACACCTCACTCACTCACACGTCACTCACTCACTCACACGTCACTCACTCACTCACACGTCACTCACTCACTCACACATCACTCACTCACACGTCACTCACTCACACGTCACTCACTCACTCACACGTCACTCACTCACTCACACGTCACTCACTCACTCACACGTCACTCACTCACTCACACGTCACTCACTCACACGTCACTCACTCACTCACACGTCACTCACTCACACCTCACTCACTCACACGTCACTCACTCACTCACTCGCCACTCACTCACACGTCACTCACTCACTCACTCACACGTCACTCACTCACTCACACGTCACTCACTCACACGTCACTCACTCACTCACACGTCACTCACTCACACCTCACTCACTCACACGTCACTCACTCACTCACTCGCCACTCACTCACACGTCACTCACTCACTGACTCACACGTCACTCACTCACTCACACGTCACTCACTCACTCACACGTCACTCACTCACACGTCACTCACTCACTCACTCACACGTCACTCACCCACTCACTCACTCACACGTCACTCACTCACACGTCACTCACTCACACGTCACTCACTCACACGTCACTCACTCACTCACACGTCACTCACTCACTCACACGTCACTCACTCACTGACTCACACATCACTCACTCACTCACTCACACGTCACTCACTCACACGTCACTCACTCACACGTCACTCACTCACTCACTCGCCACTCACTCACACGTCACTCACTCACTGACTCACACATCACTCACTCACTCACACGTCACTCACTCACTCACACGTCACTCACTCACTCACACGTCACTCACTCACTCACACGTCACTCACTCACACGTCACTCACTCACTCACACGTCACTCACTCACTCACTCGCCACTCACTCACTCACTCACACGTCACTCACACGTCACTCACTCACTCACACGTCACTCACTCACACGTCACTCACTCACACGTCACTCACTCACACGTCACTCACTCACTCACGCGTCACTCACTCACTCACACGTCACTCACTCACTCACACGTCACTCACTCGCACATCACTCACTCACTCACTCACACGTCACTCACTCACACGTCACTCACTCACTCACACGTCACTCACTCACTCACACGTCACTCACTCACTCACACGTCACTCACTCACACGTCACTCACTCACTCATTCACACGTCACTCACTCACTCACACGTCATCTCACTCACACGTCACTCACTCACTCGTCACTCACCTCACTCATTCACACGTACTCACTCACTTCACACGTCACTCACTCACTCACTCACACGTCACTCACTCACACGTCACTCACTCAATTCACTCACACGTCACTCACGTCACTCACACGTCACTCACTCACACGTCACTCACTCACTCACACGTCCACTCACTCACACGTCACTCACTCACTCACTCACACGTCACTCACTCACTCACTCACACGTCACTCACTCACTCCACGACGTCACTCACTCACTCACACGTCACTCACTCACTCACTACGTCACTCACTCACTCACACGTCACTCACTCACTCACACGTCACTCACTCACTCACACGTCACCCAGCTCACTCACTCACACGTGCACTCACTCACTCACATGTCACTCACCTCACTCACTCACACTCACGTCACTCACTCACTACGTCACTCACTCACTCACACGTCACTCACTCACACGTCACTCACTCACTCACACGTCACTCACTCACTCACACGTCACTCACTCACTCACTCACACGTCACTCACTCACTCACACGTCACTCACTCACACGTCACTCACTCACTCACGTCACTCACTCACTCACATCACACGTCACACGTCACTCACTCACTCACACGTCACTCACTCACACGTCACTCACTCACTCACACGTCACTCACTCACTCACTCACGTCACTCACTCACTCACTCACACGTCACTCACTCACTCACACGTCACTCACCTCACACGTCACTCACTCACTCACACGTCAACTCACTCACACGTCACTCACTCACTCACTCACACGTCACTCACTCACTCACTCACACGTCACTCACTCACTCACACGTCACTCACTCACTCACACGTCACTCACCTCACTCGTCACTCACGTCACTCACTCATTCACACGTCACTCACTCACTCACACGTCACTCACTCACTCACACGTCACTCACTCACTCACACGTCACTCACTCACACGTCACTCACTCACTCACTCACACGTCACTCACTCACTCACTCACACGTCACTCACTCACACGTCACTCACTCACTCACACGTCACTCACTCACTCACACGTCACTCACTCACTCACTCACACGTCACTCACTCACACGTCACTCACTCACTCACACGTACTCACTCACTCACTCACACGTCACTCACTCACTCACTCACACGTCACTCACTCACACGTCACTCACTCACTCACACGTCACTCACTCACACGTCACTCACTCACTCACTCACACGTCACTCACTCACTCACTCACACGTCACTCACTCACTCACACGTCACTCACTCACACGTCACTCACTCACACGTCACTCACTCACTCACACGTCACTCACTCACTCACACGTCACTCACTCACTCACACGTCACTCACTCACTCACACGTCACTCACTCACACATCACTCACTCACTCACTCACACGTCACTCACTCACACGTCACTCACTCACTCACACGTCACTCACTCACTCACACGTCACTCACTCACTCACACGTCACTCACTCACTCACACGTCACTCACTCACTCACACGTCACTCACTCACACGTCACTCACTCACTCATTCACACGTCACTCACTCACTCACACGTCACTCACTCACACGTCACTCACTCACTCACTCGTCACTCACTCACTCATTCACACGTCACTCACTCACTCACACGTCACTCACTCACTCACACGTCACTCACTCACTCACTCGTCACTCACTCACACGTCACTCACTCACTCACACGTCACTCACTCACTCACACGTCACTCACTCACTCACACGTCACTCACTCACTCGTCACTCACTCACTCACTCACACATCACTCACTCACTCACACGTCACTCACTCACTCACACGTCACTCACTCACTCACATGTCACTCACTCACTCACACGTCACTCACTCACTCACACGTCACTCACTCACTCACTCACACGTCACTCACTCACTCACTCACACGTCACTCACTCACTCACTCACACGTCACTCACTCACTCACACGTCACTCACTCACTCACACGTCACCTCTGTGTGTGTGTGTAGTTGGTAGGTACTATGGGTGACATAGATGTCCCCTCTGTGTGTGTGTGTAGTTGGTAGGTACTATGGGTGACATAGATGTCCCCTCTGTGTGTGTGTGTGTGTAGTTGGTAGGTACTATGGGTGACATAGATGTCCCCTCTGTGTGTGTGTGTGTGTAGTTGGTAGGTACTATGGGTGACATAGATGTCCCCTCTGTGTGTGTGTGTAGTTGGTAGGTACTATGGGTGACATAGATGTCCCCTCTGTGTGTGTGTGTAGTTGGTAGGTACTATGGGTGACATAGATGTCCCCTCTGTGTGTGTGTGTAGTTGGTAGGTACTATGGGTGACATAGATGTCCCCTCTGTGTGTGTGTGTAGTTGGTAGGTACTATGGGTGACATAGATGTCCCCTCTGTGTGTGTGTGTAGTTGGTAGGTACTATGGGTGACATAGATGTCCCCTCTGTGTGCGTGTGTGTGTAGTTGGTAGGTACTATGGGTGACATAGATGTCCCCTCTGTGTGTGTGTGTGTAGTTGGTAGGTACTATGGGTGACATAGATGTCCCCTCTGTGTGTGTGTGTAGTTGGTAGGTACTATGGGTGACATAGATGTCCCCTCTGTGTGCGTGTGTGTGTAGTTGGTAGGTACTATGGGTGACATAGATGTCCCCTCTGTGTGTGTGTGTGTAGTTGGTAGGTACTATGGGTGACATAGATGTCCCCTCTGTGTGTGTGTTTGTGTGTAGTTGGTAGGTACTATGGGTGACATAGATGTCCCCTCTGTGTGTGTGTGTAGTTGGTAGGTACTATGGGTGACATAGATGTCCCCTCTGTGTCTGTGTGTGTGTGTAGTTGGTAGATACTATGGGTGACATAGATGTCCCCTCTGTGTGTGTGTGTAGTTGGTAGGTACTATGGGTGACATAGATGTCCCCTTTGTCTCTGTGTGTGTGTAGTTGGTAGGTACTCTCGGTGACATAGACACACAGACACACAGTTAGACACACACAGGTTGTGTGTCTCTGTGTCTAAGTAACACTGTGTCTCTGTGTGTCTCTGTGTGTCTCTGTGTGTGTGTGTGTAGTTGGTAGGTACTATGGGTGACATAGATGTCTCTGTGTGTGTGTAGTTGGTAGGTACTATGGGTGACATAGATGTCCCCTCTGTGTGTGTGTGTAGTTGGTAGGTACTATGGGTGACATAGATGTCCTCTCTGTCTCTTGTGTGTGTGTGTAGTTGGTAGGTACTATGGGTGACATAGATGTCCCCTCTGTGTGTGTGTGTAGTTGGTAGGTACTATGGGTGACATAGATGTCTCTGTGTGTGTGTAGTTGGTAGGTACTATGGTGACATAGATGTCCCCTCTGTGTGTGTGTGTAGTTGGTAGGTACTATCGGTGACATAGATGTCTCTAAGTGTGTGTGTGTAGTTGGTAGGTACTATGGGTGACATAGATGTCCCCTCTGTGTGTGTGTGTAGTTGGTAGGTACTATGGGTGACATAGATGTCCTCTCTGTCTCTGTGTGTGTGTGTAGTTGGTAGGTACTATGGGTGACATAGATGTCCCCTCTGTGTGTGTGTGTAGTTGGTAGGTACTATGGGTGACATAGATGTCTCTGTGTGTAGTTGGTAGGTACTATGGTGACATAGATGTCCCCTCTGTGTGTGTGTGTAGTTGGTAGGTACTATCGGTGACATAGATGTCTCTAAGTGTGTGTGTGTAGTTGGTAGGTACTATGGGTGACATAGATGTCTCTGTGTGTGTGTAGTTGGTAGGTACTATGGTGACATAGATGTCCCCTCTGTGTGTGTGTGTAGTTGGTAGGTACTATCGGTGACATAGATGTCTCTAAGTGTGTGTGTGTAGTTGGTAGGTACTAACGGTGACATAGATGTCCCCTCTGTGTGTATGTGTAGTTGGTAGGTACTATGGGTGACATAGATGTCCCCTCTGTGTGTGTGTGTAGTTGGGAGATACTATCGGTGACATAGATGTCTCTGTGTCTCTGTGTGTGTCTCTGTGTGTGTGCGTGTGTCTGTGTGTAGTTGGGAGGTACTATCGGTGACATAGAAGGGATGCCCTTTGTGGAGGCTTTTCGTCAGTTCCAGTTTCGAGTCCAGCGGGAAAACTTCGCGAATATTCATGTCAGCCTCGTCCCACAGGTAACACTCACCACTGTGTCTATCTGTGTGTGTCTGTGTGTGTGTCTCTCTGTGTGTCTATCTGTGTGTGTGTGTCTGTGTCTATCTGTGTGTGTCTGTGTGTGTCTGTGTCTATCTGTGTGTCTATCTGTGTGTCTATGTGTGTGTCTATGTGTGTGTGTGTCTGTCTGTGTGTGAGTGTGTGTCTGTGTGTGTGTGTGGTGTGTATGTGGTGTGTGTGTGGTGTGTGTGTCTGTGTGTGTGTCTGTGTGTGTGTCTGTCTGTGTGTCAGTGTGTGTGTGTCTGTCTGTGTGTCTATCTGTGTGTCTGTGTGTGTGTGTCTGTGTGTGTGTCTGTGTGTGTGTCTGTGTGCGTGTCTATCTGTGTGTGTGTGTCTATCTGTGTGTCTGTCTGTGTGTGTCTATCTGTGTGTGTGTGTCTGTGTGTGTGTGTCTGTGTGTCTGTGTCTGTGTGTGTGTGTCTGTGTGTGTGTGTCTGTGTGTGTGTCTATCTGTGTGTCTGTGTGTGTGTCTGTGTGTCTGTGTGTGTGTGTGTCTGTCTGTGTGTGTGTCTGTGTGTCTGTGTGTGTGTCTGTGTGTGTCTGTGTGTGTGTGTGTCTGTGTGTGGTGTTTGTGTCTATCTGTGTCTGTGTCTGTGTGTCTATCTGTGTGTGGTGTGTGTGTCTATCTGTGTGTGTCTATCTGTGTGTCTATCTGTGTGTCTGTCTGTGTGTGTGTCTGTCTGTGTGTGTCTATCTGTGTGTCTATCTGTGTGTCTATCTGTGTGTGTGTGTCTGTGTGTGTGTCTATCTGTGTGTGCTGTGTGTGTTTATCTGTGTCTGTGTGTCTGTGTGTGTGTGTCTGTGTCTGTGTGTCTGTGTGTGTGTCTGTCTGTGTCTGTGTGTGTCTGTGTGTGTGTGTCTGTGTGTGTGTGTGTGTCTGTGTGTGTGTGTGTGTCTGTGTGTGTGTGTGTGTCTGTGTGTGTGTGTCTATCTGTGTGTCTGTGTGTGTGTGTGTGTGTGTCTGTGTGTGTGTGTGTCTGTGTGTGTGTCTGTGTGTCTGTGTGTGTGTCTGTCTGTGTGTGTGTCTGTGTGTCTGTGTGTGTGTCTGTGTGTGTCTGTGTGTGTGTGTGTCTGTGTGTGGTGTTTGTGTCTATCTGTGTGTGTGTCTGTGTGTGTGTGTCTATCTGTGTGTCTGTGTGTGGTGTGTGTGTCTATCTGTGTGTGTGTGTGTCTGTGTGTGTGTGTGTCTATCTGTGTGTGTGTGTCTGTGTGTCTATCTGTGTGTGTGTGTCTGTGTGTCTATCTGTGTGTGTCTGTGTGTGAGTGTGTGTCTGTGTGTGTGTCTGTGTGTGTGTGTTTGTGTGTGTGTGTCTGTGTGTGTCTTTGTGTGTCTGTGTGTGGTGTGTGTGTGTGTGTCTGTGTGTGTGTGTCTATCTGTGTGTGTATCTTTGTCTATCTGTGTGTGTGTCTATCTGTGTCTATCTGTTTATGTGTCTATCTATGTGTGTCTATCTGCGTGTGTCTATCTGTGTGTGTCTATCTCTGTGTGTCTATCTCTGTGTGTCTACCTGTGTGTCTATCTCTGTGTGTCTAACTGTGTCTATCTGTGTCTTTGTCTATCTGTGTGTGTCCATCTGTGTGTGTCTATCTGTGTCTATCTGTGTGTGTCTGTCTGTGTGTGTCTATCTGTGTGTGTCTATCTCTGTGTGTGTCTACCTGTGTGTCTATCTGCGTGTGTCTATTTCTGTGTGTCTAACTGTGTCTATTGTGTCTTTGTCTATCTGTGTGTGTGTCTTTTTCTATCTGTGTGTGTGTCTATCTGTGTTTGTGTCTATCTGTGTGTGTGTCTATCTGTGTGTCTAGCTGTGTGTGTATGTCTATCTGTGTGTGTGTGTCTGTCTGTGTGTGTGTTTATCTGTGTGTGTCTTTGTCTATATCTGTGTGTCTTTCTGTGTGTGTCTATCTGTGTGTCTGTCTATCCGTGTGTCTATCTGTGTGTTTGTCTATTTGTTTGTCTATATCTGTGTGTGTCTATCTGTGTGTGTCTACCTGTGTGTGTCTATCTGTGTGTCTAACTGTGTGTGTGTCTATCTGTGTGTGTCTATCTGTGTGTGTGTCTATATGTGTGTGTCTATGTGTGTGTGTCTCTCTGTGTGTCTATCTAACTGTGTGTCTATCTAACTGTGTGTGTGTCTATCTGTGTGTTTATCTGTGTCTGTCTATCTGTGTGTCTCTCTGTGTGTGTATATCTGTGTGTCTATCTGTGTGTGTGTCTATCTAACTGTGTGTGTCTATCTGTGTGTGTCTATCTGTGTGTGGGTCTAACTGTGTGTGTGTCTATCTGTGTGTCTATCTGTGTGTGTCTATCTGTGTGTGTGTCTGTGTGTCTGTCTGTGTGTGTCTATCTGTGTGTGTGTGTCTGTGTGTGTGTCTATCTGTGTGTGTGTCTATCTGTGTGTGTGTCTATCTGTGTGTGTCTAACTGTGTGTGTGTCTATCTGTGTGTCTATCTGTGTCTGTGTCTTTGTCTATCAGCCCGGAGCGACCGGTGAGCAGAAAACCAAACCGACCCAGAACAGCGTCCGGGAGCTCCGTGGACTCGGATTGTCTCCTGACCTGGTGACTACACTGTACACTGTACACTACACTGTACACCGCACACTACACTGCACACTACACTGTACACCACACTGTACACCACACTGTACACTGTACGCCACACTGTACACCGTACACCACACTGTACACTACACCGCACACTACACTGTACACTACACAGCGCACCACACTGTACACTGTACACTACACTGTACACTGTACACTACACTGCGCACCACACTGTACACCGCACTGTACACTACACACTACACTGTACACTACACTATACACTACACTATACACTACACTACTATACACTATACACTACTATACACTACACTATACACTACCATACTACAGTACACTATACACTACACTATACACTACACTATACACTACACTATACACTGCACTACACTATACACTACACTGTACACTACACTATACACTACACTATACACTATACACTACACTATACACTACACTATACATTACACTACACACTACACTATACACTACACTATACACTGCACTGTACACTACACTGCACACTACACTGCACACTACACTGCACACTACACTATACACTACACTATACACTACACTGTACACTACACTAAACACTACACTAAACACTACACTACACACTACACTACACTATACACTACACTGTACACTACACTATACACTACACTATACATTACACTATACACTATACACTACACTATACACTACACTATACACTACACTACTACACACTACACTGTACACTGCACTGTACACGACACTGCACACTACACTGTACACCACACTGTACACTGCACCGCACACTACACTGTACACTACACACCACACTGTACACTACACTGTACACTACACTGTACAATACACTATACACTACACTATACACTACACTACTAAACACTACACTACTATACACTACACTACTATACACTACACTATACACTACTATACACTACACTATACACTACTATACACTACACTATACACTACACTACTATACACTACACTACTGTGTCTCTCTGTGTGTCTCTGTGTGTCTCTGTGTCTAAATAACATTGTGTCTATCTGTGTCTCTGTGTGTCTCTGTGTCTAAGTAACATTGTGTCTTTGTGTGTCTCTGTGTCTCTGTGCGTGTGTCTCTGTCTCTCTGTGTCTCTTTGTGTGTCGCTGTGTCTCTGTGTGTCTCTGTGTCTAAGTAACACTGTGTCTCTGTGTGTCTGTGTGTGTCTCTGTGTGTCTGTGTCTAAGTAACACTGTGTCTCTGTGTGTCTGTGTCTAAGTAACACTGTCTCTGTGTGTCTGTGTGTCTCTGTGTCTAAGTAACACTGTGTCTCTGTGTGTCGCTGTGTCTCTGTGTGTCTCTGTGTCTAAGTAACACTGTGTCTCTGTGTCTCTGTGTGTGTCTCTGTGTGTGTCTCTGTGTCTCTGTCTGTGTCTCTGTGTGTCTGTGTCTCCCTGTGTGTGTCTGTGTGTCTGTGTCTAAGTAACTCTGTGTCTCTGTGTCTAAGTAACACTGTGTCTCTGTGTGTCTCTGTGTCTGTGTCTCTCTGTGTCTAAGTAACACTGTGTCTCTGTGTCTCTGTGTGTCTCTGTGTCTAAGTAACACTGTCTCTGTGTCTCTCTGTGTGTGTCTGTGTGTCTATGTGTGTGTCTCTGTCTCTCTGTGTGTCTGTGTCTCTCTGTGTGTCTGTGTGTGTCTAAGTAACACTGTCGCTGTGAGTCTCTGTGTGTCTCTGTGTCTCTGTGTGTCTAAGTAACACTGTGTCTCTTTGTTTGTGTGTCTGTGTCTCTGTGTCTGTCTGCAGGTTGTATGTCGCTGTGAGTCTCTGTGTGTCTCTGTGTCTGTGTGTCTTTGTGTGTCTAAGTAACACTGTGTCTCTCTGTGTGTCTGTGTGTGTGTCTCTGTGAGTCTCTCTGTGTGTGTGTGTCTCTGTGTGTCTATGTGTGTCTCTGTGTGTGTCTCTGTGTCTCTCTGTGTGTCTGTGACTCTGTGTGTCTAAGTAACATTGTGTCTCTGTGCCTCTGTGTGTGTCTCTGTGTCTAAGTAACACTGTGTCTCTCTGTGTGTCTGTGTGTGTGTCTGTGTCTCTGTGTCTGTCTGCAGGTTGTATGTCGCTGTGAGTCTGTGTGTCTCTGTGTCTGTGTGTGTCTAAGTAACACTGTGTCTCTGTGCCTCTCTGTGTGTGTCTGTGTCTAAGTAACACTGTGTCTCTCTGTGTCTCTGTGTCTCTCTGTGTGTGTCTCTGTGTGTCTCTGTGTGTCTGTGTCTCTGTGTGTCTAAGTAACACTGTGTCTCTCTGTGTGTCTCTGTGTCTGTGTCTCTGTGTCTAAGTAACACTGTGTCTCTCTGTGTGTCTGTGTGTGTGTCTGTGTCTCTGTGTCTGTCTGCAGGTTGTATGTCGCTGTGAGTCTCTGTGTGTCTCTGTGTCTGTGTGTGTCTAAGTAACACTGTGTCTCTGTGTCTCTCTGTGTGTGTCTCTGTGTCTAAGTAACACTGTGTCTCTCTGTGTGTCTGTGTGTCTCTGTGTCTGTCTGCAGGTTGTATGTCGCTGTGAGTCTCTGTGTGTCTCTGTGTCTCTGTGTGTCTAAGTAACACTGTGTCTCTCTGTGTGTGTGTCTGTGTCTCTGTGTCTGTCTGCAGGTTGTATGTCGCTGTGAGTCTGTGTGTCTCTGTGTCTGTGTGTCTAAGTAACACTGTGTCTCTGTGCCTCTCTGTGTGTGTCTCTGTGTCTAAGTAACACTGTGTCTCTCTGTATCTGTCTGCAGGTTGTATGTCGCTGTGAGTCTGTGTGTCTCTGTGTCTGTGTGTCTTTGTGTGTCTAAGTAACACTGTGTCTCTGTGTCTCTCTGTGTGTGTCTCTGTGTCTAAGTAACACTGTGTCTCTGTGTGTGTGTCTGTGTCTCTGTGTCTAAGTAACACTGTGTCTCTCTGTGTGTCTGTGTGTGTGTCTGTGTCTCTCTGTGTCTGTCTGCAGGTTGTATGTCGCTGTGAGTCTCCCCTCTCTCTCTCCGTCAAGGAGAAGGTGGCCATGTTTTGTCACGTGGGACCAGAACAGGTACCCCTCTAGTTACACACAGCGTGAAATATCTACGTGTCTCTAGTTACACACAGTGTGGAATCTCTGTGTCTCTAGTTACACACAGTGTGGAATCTCTATGTGTCTCTAGTTACACACAGTGTGGAATCTCTATGTGTCTCTAGTTACACACAGTGTGGAATCTCTATGTCTCTCTAGTTACACACAGTGTGGAATCTCTATGTCTCTCTAGTTACACACAGTGTGGAATCTCTATGTGTCTCTAGTTACACACAGTGTGGAATCTCTATGTGTCTCTCTAGTTACACACAGTGTGGAATCTCTGTGTCTCTAGTTACACACAGTGTGGAATCTCTATGTGTCTCTAGTTACACACAGTGTGGAATCTCTATGTGTCTCTAGTTACACACAGTGTGGAATCTCTATGTGTCTCTCTAGTTACACACAGTGTGGAATCTCTGTGTCTCTCTAGTTACACACAGTGTGGAATCTCTATGTGTCTCTAGTTACACACAGTGTGGAATCTCTACGTGTCTCTAGTTACACACAGTGTGGAATCTCTATGTGTCTCTAGTTACACACAGTGTGGAATCTCTACGTGTCTCTAGTTACACACAGTGTGGAATCTCTATGTGTCTCTAGTTACACACAGTGTGGAATCTCTACGTGTCTCTAGTTACACACAGTGTGGAATCTCTACGTGTCTCTCTAGTTACACACAGTGTGGAATCTCTATGTCTCTCTAGTTACACACAGTGTGGAATCTCTATATGTCTCTAGTTACACACAGTGTGGAATCTCTATGTGTCTCTAGTTACACACAGTGTGGAATCTCTATGTCTCTCTAGTTACACACAGTGTGGAATCTGTATGTCTCTCTAGTTACACACAGTGTGGAATCTCTATGTGTCTCTAGTTACACACAGTGTGGAATCTCTATGTCTCTCTAGTTACACACAGTGTGGAATCTGTATGTCTCTCTAGTTACACACAGTGTGGAATCTCTACGTGTCTCTAGTTACACACAGTGTGGAATCTCTATGTGTCTCTAGTTACAAACAGTGTGGAATCTCTGTGTGTCTCTAGTTACACACAGTGTGGAATCTCTACGTGTCTCTAGTTACACACAGTGTGGAATCTCTGTGTCTCTCTAGTTACACACAGTGTGGAATCTCTGTGTCTCTAGTTACACACAGTGTGGAATCTCTACGTGTCTCTAGTTACACACAGTGTGGAATCTCTATGTGTCTCTAGTTACACACAGTGTGGAATCTCTGTGTGTCTCTAGTTACACACAGTGTGGAATCTCTATGTGTCTCTCTAGTTACACACAGCGTGGAATCTCTATGTGTCTCTAGTTACACACAGTGTGGAATCTCTGTCTCTAGTTACACACAGTGTGGAATCTCTATGTGTCTCTAGTTACACACAGTGTGGAATCTCTGTCTCTAGTTACACACAGTGTGGAATCTCTATGTGTCTCTAGTTACACACAGTGTGGAATCTCTATGTGTCTCTCTAGTTACACACAGTGTGGAATCTCTATGTGTCTCTAGTTACACACAGTGTGGAATCTCTATGTGTCTCTCTAGTTACACACAGTGTGGAATCTCTATGTGTCTCTAGTTACACACAGTGTGGAATCTCTATGTGTCTCTAGTTACACACAGTGTGGAATCTCTGTCTCTCTAGTTACACACAGTGTGGAATCTCTATGTCTCTAGTTACACACAGTGTGGAATCTCTATGTGTCTCTAGTTACACACAGTGTGGAATCTCTGTGTCTCTCTAGTTACACACAGTGTGGAATCTCTATGTCTCTAGTTACACGCAGTGTGGAATCTCTATGTGTCTCTAGTTACACACAGTGTGGAATCTCTATGTGTCTCTCTAGTTACACACAGTGTGGAATCTCTGTGTCTCTCTAGTTACACACAGTGTGGAATCTCTATGTGTCTCTAGTTACACACAGTGTGGAATCTCTACGTGTCTCTAGTTACACACAGTGTGGAATCTATATGTGTCTCTAGTTACACACAGTGTGGAATCTCTACGTGTCTCTAGTTACACACAGTGTGGAATCTCTATGTGTCTCTAGTTACACACAGTGTGTAATCTCTATGTGTCTCTAGTTACACACAGTGTGGAATCTCTACGTGTCTCTCTAGTTACACACAGTGTGGAATCTCTATGTCTCTCTAGTTACACACAGTGTGGAATCTCTATATGTCTCTAGTTACACACAGTGTGGAATCTCTATGTGTCTCTAGTTACACACAGTGTGGAATCTCTATGTCTCTCTAGTTACACACAGTGTGGAATCTGTATGTCTCTCTAGTTACACACAGTGTGGAATCTCTATGTGTCCTCTAGTTACACACAGTGTGGAATCTCTATGTCTCTCTAGTTACACACAGTGTGGAATCTCTACGTGTCTCTAGTTACACACAGTGTGGAATCTCTACTGTGTCTCTAGTTACACACAGTGTGGAATCTCTGTGTGTCTCTAGTTACACACAGTGTGGAATCTCTACGTGTCTCTAGTTACACACAGTGTGGAATCTCTGTGTCTCTCTAGTTACACACAGTGTGGAATCTCTGTGTCTCTAGTTACACACAGTGTGGAATCTCTACGTGTCTCTAGTTACACACAGTGTGGAATCTCTATGTGTCTCTAGTTACACACAGTGTGGAATCTCTGTGTGTCTCTAGTTACACACAGTGTGGAATCTCTATGTGTCTCTCTAGTTACACACAGCGTGGAATCTCTATGTGTCTCTAGTTACACACAGTGTGGAATCTCTGTGTCTCTAGTTACACACAGTGTGGAATCTCTGTGTGTCTCTAGTTACACACAGTGTGGAATCTCTATGTCTCTCTAGTTACACACAGTGTGGAATCTCTACGTGTCTCTAGTTACACACAGTGTGGAATCTCTGTGTCTCTAGTTACACACAGTGTGGAATCTCTGTGTGTCTCTAGTTACACACAGTGTGGAATCTCTACGTGTCTCTAGTTACACACAGTGTGGAATCTCTGTGTCTCTCTAGTTACACACAGTGTGGAATCTCTGTGTCTCTAGTTACACACAGTGTGGAATCTCTACGTGTCTCTAGTTACACACAGTGTGGAATCTCTATGTGTCTCTAGTTACACACAGTGTGGAATCTCTGTCTCTCTAGTTACACACAGTGTGGAATCTCTATGTGTCTCTAGTTATACACAGTGTGGAATCTCTATGTGTCTCTAGTTACACACAGTGTGGAATCTCTATGTGTCTCTAGTTACACACAGTGTGGAATCTCTATGTGTCTCTAGTTACACACAGTGTGGAATCTCTGTGTCTCTCTAGTTACACACAGTGTGGAATCTCTATGTCTCTAGTTACACACAGTGTGGAATCTCTATGTGTCTCTAGTTACACACAGCGTGGAATCTCTATGTCTCTAGTTACACACAGTGTGGAATCTCTATGTCTCTAGTTACACACAGTGTGGAATCTCTATGTGTCTCTAGTTACACACAGTGTGGAATCTCTGTGTCTCTCTAGTTACACACAGTGTGGAATCTCTATGTCTCTAGTTACACGCAGTGTGGAATCTCTATGTGTCTCTAGTTACACACATTGTGGAATCTCTGTGTCTCTAGTTACACACAGTGTGGAATCTCTATGTGTCTCTAGTTACACGCAGTGTGGAATCTCTATGTGTCTCTAGTTACACACAGTGTGGAATCTCTGTGTGTCTCTAGTTACACACAGTGTGGAATCTCTGTGTGTCTCTAGTTACACACAGTGTGGAATCTCTATGTGTCTCTCTAGTTACACACAGTGTGGAATCTCTATGTGTCTCTAGTTACACACAGTGTGGAATCTCTGTGTGTCTCTAGTTACACACAGTGTGGAATCTCTGTGTCTCTCTAGTTACCCACAGCGTGGAATCTCTATGTGTCTCTAGTTACACACAGTGTGGAATCTCTGTGTGTCTCTAGTTACACACAGTGTGGAATCTCTATGTGTCTCTAGTTACACACAGTGTGGAATCTCTATGTCTCTCTAGTTACACACAGTGTGGAATCTCTATGTGTCTCTAGTTACACACAGTGTGGAATCTCTATGTGTCTCTAGTTACACACAGTGTGGAATCTCTATGTCTCTAGTTACACACAGTGTGGAATCTCTATGTGTCTCTAGTTACACACAGTGTGGAATCTCTATGTGTCTCTCTAGTTACACACAGTGTGGAATCTCTGTGTCTCTCTAGTTACACACAGTGTGGAATCTCTATGTGTCTCTAGTTACACACAGTGTGGAATCTCTATGTGTCTCTAGTTACACACAGTGTGGAATATCTATGTGTCTCTAGTTACACACAGTGTGGAATCTCTATGTGTCTCTAGTTACACACAGTGTGGAATCTCTGTCTCTAGTTACACACAGTGTGGAATCTCTATGTGTCTCTAGTTACACACAGTGTGGAATCTCTATGTGTCTCTCTAGTTACACACAGTGTGGAATCTCTATGTGTCTCTAGTTACACACAGTGTGGAATCTCTATGTGTCTCTCTAGTTACACACAGTGTGGAATCTCTATGTGTCTCTAGTTACACACAGTGTGGAATCTCTATGTGTCTCTAGTTACACACAGTGTGGAATCTCTGTCTCTCTAGTTACACACAGTGTGGAATCTCTATGTCTCTCTAGTTACACACAGTGTGGAATCTCTATGTGTCTCTAGTTACACACAGTGTGGAATCTCTATGTGTCTCTAGTTACACACAGTGTGGAATCTCTATGTGTCTCTAGTTACACACAGTGTGGAATCTCTATGTGTCTCTAGTTACACACAGTGTGGAATCTCTATGTGTCTCTAGTTACACACAGTGTGGAATCTCTATGTGTCTCTAGTTACACACAGAGTGGAATCTCTATGTCTCTAGTTACACACAGTGTGGAATCTCTATGTGTCTCTAGTTACACACAGTGTGGAATCTCTGTGTGTCTCTAGTTACACACAGTGTGGAATCTCTGTGTCTCTCTAGTTACACACAGTGTGGAATCTCTATCTGTCTCTAGTTACACACAGTGTGGAATCTCTATGTGTCTCTAGTTACACACAGTGTGGAATCTGTGTCTCTAGTTACACACAGTGTGGAATCTCTATGTGTCTGTGTGTGACTGTGTGTGTGACTGTGTGTGTGTGGCTGTGTCACTCTGTGTGTGACTGTGTGTGTGACTGTGTGTGTGGCTGTGTCACTCTGTGTGTGACTGTGTGTGTGTGTCTGTGCCACTCTGTGTGTGACTGTGTGTGTGTGTGACTGTGTGTGTGTCACTGTGTGTGTGTGACTGTGTGTGTGTGACTGTCTGTGTGAGTGTCTGTCTGTGTGTGACTGTGTGTGTGTGTGTGTGACTGTGTAACTGTGTGACTGTATAACTGTGTGTGACTGTGTGTGTGTGTGACTGTGTGTGACTGTGTGTGACTGTGTGTGTTTGTGTGATTGTGTGTGACTTTGTGACTGTGTGTGTGACTTTGTGACTGTGTGTGTGTGTGACTGTGTGTGTGTCACTGTGTGACTGTGTGTGACTGTGTGTGTCACTGTGTGACTGTGTGTGACTGTGTGTGTCACTGTGACTGTGTGTGACTGTGTGTGTGTGACTGACTGTGTGTGTGTGTGTCACTGTGACTGTGTGTGACTGTGTGTGTGTGTCACTGTGACTGTGTGTGTCACTGTGTGCGACTGTGTGTGTGTGTCACTGTGACTGTGTGTGTGTGTGTGTCACTGTGACTGTGTGTGTGTCACTGTGACTGTGTGTGTGTGTCACTGTGTGTCACTGTGTGTGTGTGTGACTGACTGTGTGTGTGACTGACTGACTGTGTGACTGTGTGTGTCACTGTGACTGTGTGACTGTGTGTGACTGACTGACTGTGTGTGACTGTGTGTGACTGTGTGACTGTGTGTCACTGTGTGTGACTGGCTGACTGTGTGACTGTGTGTGACTGTGTGTCACTGTGTGTGACTGTGTGTGTGTCTGACTGTGTGTGTGACTGACTGACTGTGTCACTGTGACTGTGTGTGACTGACTGTGTGTGTGACTGACTGACTGACTGACTGTGTGTGTGTCACTGTGACTGTGTGTGTGTGTCACTGTGTGACTGTGTGTGTGTGTGTGTGTCACTGTGACTGTGTGTGTGTGTGTGTCACTGTGACTGTGTGTGTGTGTGTGTGTCACTGTGTGTGACTGTGTGTGTGACTGACTGACTGTGTGTGTGACTGACTGTGTGACTGTGTGTGTGTGTCACTGTGTGTGACTGTGTGTGTGTGTCACTGTGTGTGACTGTGTGTGTGTTTGTGTCACTGTGTGTGTGTGTGACTGACTGACTGTGTGACTGTGTGTGACTGTGTGTGTGACTGTGTGTGTGTGACTGTGTGTGTCACTGTGACTGTGTGTGTCACTGTGTGTGTGTGACTGTGTGTCACTGTGTGACTGTGTGTGACTGTGTGTGACTACACCCCACAGGTAATGTGTGTTCACGATGTGTCCTGCGTCTACCGCGTCCCGCTCCTGCTTGAGTCCCAGGGAGTCGTTCAGTATTTCCGTCAGCGGCTCAACCTGCCCATACCCCTCACACAGCCTCCACGCAGACTCAGCAAGTGGAGAGAGATGGCCAATCGGTGGGTGGGTTGGTGGGTGGGTGGGTGGGTGAGTGGGTGGGTGGGTGAGTGGGTGGGTGGGTGAGTGGGTGAGTGGGTGAATGAGTGAGTGGGTGATTGGGTGAGTGAGTGAGTGAGTGGGTGGGTGAGTGGGTGGGTGGGTGAGTGAGAGTGGGTGGGTGAGTGGGTGAGTGAGTGGGTGAGTGGGTGGGTGGGTGAATGAGTGGTGAGTGAGTGGGTGGGTGGGTGAGTGGGTGAGTGGGTGGGTGAGTGGGTGGGTGAGTGGGTGGGTGGGTGAGTGGGTGAGTGAGTGGGTGGGTGGGGGGGTAAGTGGGTGAGTGAGTGGGTGAGTGAGTGAGTGAGTGGGTGAGTGAGTGAGTGGGTGGGTGAGTGAGTGGGTGGGTTGGTGGGTGGGTGGGTGAGTGGGTTGGTGGGTGGGTGGGTGAGTGGGTGGGTGGGCGGGTGGGTGGGTGAGCGGGTGGGTGAGCGGGTGGGTGGGCGAGCGGGTGGGTGGATGGGTGGGTGAGTGAGTGGGTGGGTGAGTGGGTGGGTGGGTGAGTGGGTGGGTGAGTGGGTGGGTGGGTGAGTGAGTGGGTGGGTGAGTGGGTGAGTGGGTGGGTGGGTGGGTTGGTGGGTGAGTGGGTGGGTGAGTGGGTGGGTGAGTGGTGAGTGAGTGAGTGAGTGAATGCGTGGGTGGGTGAGTGAGTGGGTGGGTGGGTTGGTGGGTGAGTGAGTGGGTGGGTGAGTGGATGTAGCGGGGGTGATCTCTCTCTCTGTGTGAGTCTCTGTGTGTGTCTCTCTGTGTGTGTGTCTCTGTGTGTGTCTCTGTGTGTGTGTCTGTGTGAGTCTGTGAGTCTCTGTGTGAGTCTCTCTGTGTGTCTCTCTGTCTCTGTCTCTCTGTGTTTGTCTCTCTGTGTGTCTCTCTGTCTCTGTCTCTCTGTCTCTCTCTGTCTCTGTGTCCAGCTCTGACCGTATGTTGAAGTCCGTGGCGATCACCCTGGTCGGCAAGTACGTGCGTCTGTCTCTGTCTCTCTGTGTGTGTCTCTGTGTGTGTCTCTGTGTGTCTCTCTGTGAGTCTCTCTGTGTGTGTCTCTGTGTCTCTGTGTGTGTTTCTGTGTGTCTCTGTGTGTGTCTCTCTGTGTGAGTCTCTCTGTGTGTCTCTCTCTGTGTCTCTGTGTGTGTCTCTGTGTGTGTCTCTGTGTGAGTCTCTGTGTGAGTCTCTGTGTGAGTCTCTGTGTGAGTCTCTCTGTGTGTCTCTCTCTGTCTCTGTGTGTGTCTCTGTGTGTGTCTCTGAGTGAGTCTCTGTGTGTGTCTCTGTGTGTGCCTCTCTGTGTGTGTCTCTGTTGGTGGTCTCTCTGTGTGTGTCTCTCTCTGTCTCTGTGTGTGTCTCTCTCTGTGTCTCTCTCTGTGTGTCTCTCTGTGTGTGTCTCTCTGTGTCTCTGTGTGAGTCTCTGTGTCTCTCTCTGTGTGTCTCTCTGTCTCTCTGTCCAGCTCTGACCGCATGTTGAAGTCCGTGGCGATCACCCTGGTCGGCAAGTACGTGTGTCTGTCTCTGTCTCTCTGTGTGTGAGTCTCTGTGTGTCTCTCTGTGTGAGTCTCTGTGTGAGTCTCTGTGTGTCTCTCTGTGTGTGAGTCTCTGTGTGTCTCTCTGTGTGAGTCTCTGTGTGAGTCTCTGTGTGTGTCTCTGTGTGTCTCTCTGTGTGAGTCTCTGTGTGTCTCTGTGTGTCTCTCTGTGTGAGTCTCTGTGTGAGTCTCTGTGTGTGTCTCTGTGTGTCTCTCTGTGTGAGTCTCTGTGTGTCTCTGTGTGTCTCTGTGTGTGTCTCTGTGTGAGTCTCTGTGTGTGTCTCTGTGTGTCTCTGTGTGTCTCTGTGTGTGTCTCTGTGTGAGTCTCTGTGTGTGTCTCTGTGTGAGTCTCTGTGTGTCTCTGTGTGTGTCTCTCTGTGTGTCTATCTGTGTGTCTCTGTGTGTCTCTGTGTGTGTCTCTGTGTGTGTCTCTGTGTGTGTCTCTGTGTGTGTCTCTGTGTGAGTCTCTGTGTGAGTCTCTGTGTGTCTCTGTGTCTCTCTCTGTGTCTCTCTCTGTGTGTCTCTCTGTCTCTCTGTGTCTCTCTCTCTCTGTGTCCAGCTCTGACCGCATGTTGAAGTCCGTGGCGATCACCCTGGTCGGCAAGTACGTGCGTCTGTCTCTGTCTCTCTGTGTGAGTCTCTGTGTGAGTCTCTGTGTCTCTCTCTGTCTCTGTGTGAGTCTCTGTGTGTGTCTCTCTGTGTCTCTGTGTGAGTCTCTGTGTGTCTCTGTGTGAGTCTCTGTGTCTCTGTGTGTGTCTGTGTGTCCAGCTCTGACCGCATGTTGAAGTCCGTGGCGATCACCCTGGTCGGCAAGTACGTGCGTCTGTCTCTGTCTCTCTGTGTGTCTCTCTCTGTGTCTCTCTGTGTGAGTCTCTGTGTCTCTCTCTGTGTGTGTCTCTGTGTGTCTCTCTGTGTGAGTCTCTCTGTGTGTCTCTGTGTATCTCTCTCTGTCTCTGTGTTTGTCTCTCTGTCTCTGTGTCCAGCTCTGACCGCATGTTGAAGTCCGTGGCGATCACCCTGGTCGGCAAGTACGTGCGTCTGTCTCTGTCTCTCTGTGTGTCTCTCTGTGTGTGTCTCTCTGTCCAGCTCTGACCGCATGTTGAAGTCCGTGGCGATCACCCTGGTCGGCAAGTACGTGCGTCTGTCTCTGTCTCTCTGTGTGTCTCTCTCTGTGTCTCTCTGTGTGAGTCTCTGTGTCTCTCTCTGTGTGTGTCTCTGTGTGTCTCTCTGTGTGAGTCTCTCTGTGTGTCTCTGTGTATCTCTCTCTGTCTCTGTGTTTGTCTCTCTGTCTCTGTGTCCAGCTCTGACCGCATGTTGAAGTCCGTGGCGATCACCCTGGTCGGCAAGTACGTGCGTCTGTCTCTGTCTCTCTGTGTGTCTCTCTCTCTCTGTGTGTCTGTGTGAGTCTCTCTGTGTGAGTCTCTCTGTGTGAGTCTCTCTGTGTGAGTCTCTGTGTGAGTCTCTCTGTGTGTGTCTCTCTCTCTGTGCGTCTGTCTCTGTCTCTCTGTGTGAGTCTCTCTGTGTGTGTCTCTGTGTGAGTCTCTGTGTGAGTCTCTGTGTCTCTCTCTGTGTGAGTCTCTGTGCGAGTCTCTGTGTGTCTGTCTCTCTGTGTGTGTCTCTGTCTCTCTCTGTCTGTGTGTCCAGCTCTGACCGCATGTTGAAGTCCGTGGCGATCACCCTGGTCGGCAAGTACGTGCGTCTGTCCGACTCGTACGCCTCTGTCGTGAAAGCACTTGAGCATGCAGCACTGGCGATGAATCATCGGCTGCAGCTGTCGGTGAGTGAGTGAGCTCAGTCAGTCACTCAGTCACTCAGTTAGTTAGTCAGTTAGTTAGTCACTCAGTTAGTTAGTCAGTTAGTTAGTCAGTCACTCAGTCAGTCACTAAGTCAGTCACTCAGTCAGTCACTCAGTCACTCAGTCACTCAGTCAGTCACTCAGTCACTCAGTCAGTTAGTTAGTGAGTTAGTCAATCAGTTAGTTAGTCAGTTAGTCAGTTAGTTAGTTAGTCAGTTAGTTAGTCAGTCAGTCCGTCAGTCACTCAGTCAGTTAGTTAGTGAGTTAGTCAGTTAGTTAGTCAGTTAGTTAGTTAGTCAGTTAGTTAGTTAGTCAGTTAGTTAGTTAGTCAGTTAGTTAGTTAGTCAGTTAGTTAGTCAGTCAGTTAGTCAGTCACTCAGTCACTCAGTCAGTCACTCAGTCAGTCACTCAGTCACTCAGTCACTCAGTCAGTCACTCAGTCAGTCACTCAGTCAGTTAGTTAGTTAGTCAGTCAGTCACTCAGTCAGTTAGTTAGTTAGTCAGTTAGTTAGTTAGTCAGTTAGTTAGTCAGTTAGTTAGTTAGTTAGTTAGTCAGTTAGTTAGTCAGTCACTCAGTCAGTCACTCAGTCACTCAGTCAGTCAGTCACTCAGTCACTCAGTCAGTCCATCAGTCACTCAGTCAGTCACTCAGTCAGTTAGTTAGTTAGTCAGTTAGTTAGTCAGTTAGTTAGTTAGTCAGTTAGTTAGTCAGTTAGTTAGTCAGTTAGTTAGTTAGTCAGTTAGTTAGTCAGTTAGTTAGTCAGTTAGTCAGTTAGTTAGTTAGTAAGTCAGTTAGTTAGTCAGTCAGTCAGTTAGTCACTCAGTCAGTTAGTTAGTGAGTCAGTTAGTTAGTCAGTCAGTTAGTCAGTCAGTTAGTCAGTTAGTTAGTCAGTTAGTTAGTCAGTTAGTCAGTTAGTTAGTCAGTTAGTTAGTCAGTTAGTTAGTCAGTTAGTTAGTCAGTTAGTTAGTCAGTTAGTTAGTCAGTTAGTTAGTCAGTTAGTTAGTCAGTTAGTTAGTCAGTTAGTTAGTTAGTTAGTCAGTTAGTTAGTTAGTCAGTTAGTTAGTTAGTCAGTTAGTTAGTTAGTCAGTCAGTCAGTTAGTCACTCAGTCAGTTAGTTAGTGAGTCAGTTAGTTAGTTAGTCAGTCAGTCAGTTAGTCAGTTAGTCAGTTAGTTAGTCAGTTAGTTAGTCAGTCAGTTAGTCACTCAGTCAGTCAGTTAGTTAGTTAGTTAGTCAGTTAGTCAGTCAGTTAGTTAGTCAGTTAGTTAGTCAGTCAGTTAGTCACTCAGTCAGTTAGTTAGTCAGTCAGTTAGTCAGTCAGTTAGTTAGTCAGTTAGTTAGTCAGTTAGTTAGTTAGTTAGTCAGTTAGTCAGTTAGTCAGTTAGTTAGTTAGTCAGTCAGTTAGTTAGTCAGTTAGTTAGTCAGTCAGTTAGTTAGTCAGTCAGTTAGTTAGTCAGTCAGTTAGTCAGTCAGTTAGTTAGTCAGTTAGTTAGTTAGTCACTCAGTCAGTTAGTTAGTCACTCAGTCAGGCAGTCAGTCAGTTAGTCAGTCAGTTAGTCAGTCAGTTAGTCAGTCAGTTAGTCAGTTAGTTAGTCAGTCAGTTAGTCAGTTAGTTAGTCAGTTAGTTAGTCAGTCAGTTAGTTAGTTAGTCAGTTAGTTAGTTAGTCAATTAGTTAGTTAGTTAGTCAGTCACTCAGTTAGTTAGTTAGTCAGTTAGTTAGTCAGTTAGTTAGTTAGTTAGTCAGTTAGTTAGTCAGTCAGTTAGTCAGTTAGTTAGTTAGTCACTCAGTCAGTCACTCAGTCAGTCACTCAGTCAGTTAGTCAGTCAGTCACTCAGTCAGTCACTCAGTCAGTCACTCAGTCAGTCACTCAGTCAGTTAGTCAGTTAGTTAGTTAGTCAGTTAGTTAGTCAGTCAGTCAGTTAGTTAGTCAGTCAGTTAGTCAGTCAGTTAGTTAGTCAGTCAGTTAGTCAGTTAGTTAGTCACTCAGTTAGTTAGTCACTCAGTCACTCAGTCAGTTAGTTAGTCAGTCAGTCAGTCACTCAGTCAGTCACTCAGTCACTCAGTCAGTCACTCAGTCAGTCACTAAGTCAGTCACTAAGTCAGTCAGTCACTAAGTCAGTCAGTCACTCAGTCAGTCACTCAGTCAGTCACTCAGTCACTCAGTCAGTCACTCAGTCAGTCACTCAGTCAGTCACTCAGTCACTCACTCAGTCACTCACTCAGTCACTCAGTCAGTCACTCAGTCAGTCACTAAGTCAGTCACTAAGTCAGTCACTCAGTCAGTCACTCAGTCACTCAGTTAGTTAGTCACTCAGTCAGTTAGTTAGTCACTCAGTCAGTTAGTCACTCAGTCAGTTAGTTAGTCACGCAGTCAGTCAGTCACTCAGTCAGTCACTCAGTCACTCACTCAGTCACTCAGTCAGTCACTCAGTCAGTCACTCAGTCAGTTAGTCACTCAGTTAGTCAGTCAGTTAATCACTCAGTCAGTCAATTAGTTAGTCACTCAGTTAGTTAGTCAGTCAGTTAGTCACTCAGTCACTCAGTCAGTCACTCATCTAGTCACTCAGTCACTCTCTGTTAGTCAGTCAGTCACTCAGTCAGTCACTCAGTCAGTCACTCAGTCAGTTAGTCAGTCAGTTAGTCACTCAGTTAGTCACTCAGTTAGTCACTCAGTTAGTCAGTCAGTCAGTCACTCAGTCAGTCAGTCAGTTAGTTAGTTAGTTAGTCAGTTAGTCAGTCACTCAGTCAGTTAGTCACTCAGTTAGTCACTCAGTTAGTTAGTCAGTTAGTTAGTCAGTCAGTCACTCAGTCAGTTAGTTAGTCAGTCAGTTAGTTAGTTAGTCACTCAGTCAGTTAGTTAGTCAGTTAGTTAGTCACTCAGTTAGTTAGTCACTCAGTTAGTCATTCAGTCACTCAGTCACTCAGTCGGTCACTCAGTCAGTCACTCAGTCAGTTAGTTAGTCACTCAGTTAGTTAGTCACTCAGTCAGTCACTCAGTCAGTTAGTTAGTCACTCAGTCACTAAGTCAGTCAGTCACTCAGTCAGTCACTCAGTCAGTTAGTCACTCAGTCAGTCACTCAGTCAGTCACTCAGTCAGTCACTCAGTTAGTTAGTCACTCAGTCAGTTAGTTAGTCACTCAGTCAGTTAGTTAGTCACTCAGTCACTAAGTCAGTCAGTCACTCAGTCAGTCACTCAGTCAGTTAGTCACTCAGTCAGTCACTCAGTCAGTCACTCAGTTAGTCACTCAGTTAGTTAGTCACTCAGTCAGTTAGTTAGTCACTCAGTTAGTCAGTCAGTTAGTCAGTCAGTCAGTCAATTAGTTATTCACTCAGTTAGTTAGTCAGTCAGTCACTCAGTCACTCAGTCAGTCACTCAGTCAGTCACTCAGTCAGTCACTCAGTCAGTTAGTCACTCAGTCAGTTAGTCACTCAGTCAGTTAGTCACTCAGTCAGTTAGTCACTCAGTCACTCAGTCAGTCACTCAGTCAGTCACTCAGCTAGTCACTCAGTCACTCTCTCAGTTAGTCACTCAGTCAGTCAGTTAGTCAGTCACTCAGTCAGTCACTCAGTCAGTTAGTCAGTCAGTTAGTCAGTCAGTTAGTCAGTCAGTTAGTCAGTCAGGCAGTTAGTCACTCAGTTAGTCAGTCAGTTAGTCAGTTAGTTAGTTAGTCAGTCACTCAGTCAGTTAGTTAGTCATTCAGTTAGTCACTCAGTTAGTTAGTCAGTTAGTCAGTCAGTCACTCAGTCAGTTAGTTAGTTAGTCAGTCAGTTAGTTAGTCACTCAGTCAGTTAGTTAGTCAGTTAGTTAGTCAGTCAGTTAGTCACTCAGTTAGTTAGTCACTCAGTTAGTTAGTTAGTCACTCAGTTAGTCATTCAGTTAGTTAGTCACTCAATTAGTTTGTTAGTTAGTTAGTCAGTTAGTTAGTCAGTTAGTTAGTCAGTCACTCAGTCAGTTAGTCAGTCAGTTAGTTATTCAGTTAGTTAGTCAGTTAGTTAGTCAGTCAGTTAGTTAGTCAGTTAGTTAGTCAGTTAGTCAGTTAGTTAGTCAGTTAGTTAGTCAGTCAGTTAGTTAGTCACTCAGTCAGTTAGTTAGTCACTCAGTCAGTCAGTTAGTTAGTCAGTTAGTTAGTAAGTCAGTTAGTCAGTTAGTTAGTCACTCAGTTAGTTAGTCACTCAGTTAGTTAGTCGGTTAGTTAGTCAGTTAGTTAGTCAGTTAGTTAGTCAGTTAGTCAGTCAGTTAGTTAGTCACTCAGTCAGTTAGTTAGTCACTCAGTCAGTCACTCAGTCAGTCACTCAGTCACTCAGTTAGTCACTCAGTCAGTCACTCAGTCACTCACTCACCACCCACTCACCCACCCACCCACTCACCCACCCACCCACCCACTCACCCACCCACCCACCCACTCACCCACCCACCCACTCACCCACCCACCCACTCACCCACCGACTCACCCACCCACTCACCCACTCACTCACCCACTCACTCACCCACCCACTCACTCACCCACTCACTCACTCATCCACCCACCCACTCACTCACTCACCCACTCACTCACCCACTCACTCACCCACTCACTCACCCACCCACTCACTCACCCACTCACTCACTCACTCACCCACTCACTCACCCACCCACTCACTCACCCACCCACTCACTCACTCACTCACCCACCCACCCACTCACTCACTCACTCACCCACTCACTCACCCACTCACCCACCCACTCACTCACCCACTCACTCGCCACCCACTCACCCACTCACCCACTCACTCACCCACTCACTCACCCACCCACCCACCCACTCACTCACCCACTCACTCACCCACTCACTCACTCACCCACTCACTCACTCACCCACCCACTCACTCACTCACCCACCCACTCACCCACTCACTCACTCACCCACTCACTCACCCACTCACTCACCCACACACCCACCCACTCACTCACCCACCCACCCACTCACTCACTCACCCACTCACCCACCCACCCACCCACTCACCCACCCACTCACCCACCCACTCACTCACCCACCCACTCACCCACCCACTCACTCACTCACCACTCACTCACCCACCCACTCACTTACTCACACACCCACCCACCCACCCACTCACTCACCCACTCACCCACCCACCCACTCACTCACCCACCCACTCACTCACCCACCCACTCACTCACCCACCCACCCACTCACTCACCCACCCACCCACTCACCCACTCACTCACCCACTCACTCACTCACCCACTCACCCACCCACTCACCCACCCACTGAACTCACTCACCCACTCACTCACCCACCCACTCACCCACTCACTCACTCACCCACTCACCCACCCACTCACTCACCCACCCACTCACCCACTCACTCACTCACCCACTCACCCACCCACTCACTCACCCACTAACCCACTCACCCACCCACTCACTCACCCACCCACCCACTAACCCACTCACCCACTCACTCACTCACCCACCCACTAACCCACCCACCCACTAACCCACCCACTAACCCACCCACTAACCCACTCACCCACCCACTAACTCACTCACCCACCCACCCACTAACTCACCCACCCACTCACCCACTCACCCACCCACCCACTCACTCACCCACCCACTCACTCACCCACCCACTCACTCACCCACCCACTCACTCACCCACTCACTCACCCACCCACTCACTCACCCACCCACCCACCCACCCACTCACCCACCCACTCACCCACCCACTCACCCACCCACCCACTCACCCACTCACTCACCCACCCACTCACCCACCCACCCACTCACTCACCCATTAACTCACCCACTCACCCACCCACCCACTAACCCACCCACTAACTAACCCACCCACTAACCCACCCACTAACCCACTCACTGTGTTGGTCTTCTCCCCAGTACGTTGACTCGGCTGATCTGGAGGCTGGAGTCCAGTCAACGGATCCAGTCAAGTATCACGAGGCCTGGCAGAAGCTCTGCAGTGCAGAGTGAGACACACACAGATAGACACACAGATAGACACACAGATAGACACACAGATAGACACACAGACACACACAGATAGACACACACAGATAGACACACAGATAGACACACACAGATAGACACACACAGATAGACACACAGATAGACACACACAGATAGACACACACAGATAGACACACAGATAGACACACAGATAGACACACACACAGACAGACACACACAGATAGACACACACACAGATAGACACACACAGACTCACACAGAGATAGACAGACACAGATAGACACACAGATAGACACACACAGACACACAGATAGACACACACAGATAGACACACACAGATAGACACACAGATAGACACACAGATAGACACACACAGATAGACACACAGATAGACACACAGATAGACACAGATAGACACACACAGATAGACACACACAGATAGACACACACAGATAGACACACACAGATAGACACACACAGATAGACACACACAGATAGACACACACAGATAGACACACACAGATAGACACACAGATAGACACACAGATAGACACACAGATAGACACACAGACACACACACAGACACACACACAGATAGACACACACACAGATAGACACACACAGATAGACACACACAGATAGACACACACAGATAGACACACACAGACACAGATAGACACACACAGATAGACACACACAGATAGACACACACAGATAGACACACACAGATAGACACACACACAGATAGACACACACAGATAGACACACACAGATAGACACACACACAGATAGACACACACACAGATAGACACACACAGATAGACACACACACAGATAGACACACGCAGATAGACACACACAGATAGACACACAGATAGACACACACAGATAGACACACAGATACACACACACAGATAGACACACACACAGACACACAGATAGACACACACAGATAGACACACAGATAGACACACAGATAGACACACAGATAGACACACACAGATAGACACACACATAGACACACACACAGACACACAGACACACACACAGACACACACACAGACACACACACAGACACACAGATAGACACACAGATAGACACACACAGATAGACACACAGATAGACACACACAGATAGACACACACAGATAGAGACACAGATAGACACACACACAGATAGACACACACAGACACACACAGATAGACACACAGATAGACACACAGATAGACACACACAGATAGACACACACAGATAGACACACAGATAGACACACAGACACAGATAGACACACAGATAGACACACAGATAGACACAGACACAGATAGACACACAGATAGCTACAGACACATACAGATAGACACACACAGATAGACACACAGATAGACACACAGATAGACACACACAGACACACACGCAGATAGACACACACAGATAGACACACAGACACACACACAGATAGACACACACAGACACAGATACACACACACAGACACACACAGATATACACACAGATAGACACACAGAGACACACACAGATAGACACACACAGATAGACACACGCAGACACACACACAGAGATAGACACACACAGATAGACACACACACAGAGATAGACACACACACAGACACACACAGATAGACACACACAGATAGACACACAGAGATAGACACACAGACACAGATAGACACACACAGACACAGATAGACACACACAGAGATAGACACACACAGACACACACAGAGATAGACACACACACAGACACACACAGATAGACACACACACAGACACACAGATAGACACACACACAGAGATAGACACACACAGACACACACACAGATAGACAAACAGATAGACACACAGATAGACACAAACAGATAGACACACATACACACAGATAGACACACATAGACACACAGATAGACAGACACAGATAGACACACACAGATAGACACACACACAGACACACAGATAGACACACAGATAGACACAGAGATAGACACACACAGATATACACACACAGATAGACACACACACAGACACACACACAGACACAGATAGACACACAGATAGATACACACACACAGACAAACACAGACACACACAGATAGACACACAGAGACACACACAGATAGACACACAGATAGACACACAGATAGACACACACAGACACAGATAGACACACACAGACACATACAGATAGACACACACAGATAGACACACAGACACAGATAGACACACAGATAGACACACAGATAGACACACAGATAGACACACACAGACACAGATACACACACACAGACAGACACACACACAGATACAGACACACAGATAGACACACACACAGACACAGATAGACACACACAGACACACACAGATAGACACACAGATAGACACACAGATAGACACACAGATAGACACACACAGACACACACAGACACACACGCAGATAGACACACAGACACACACACAGATAGACACACACAGACACAGATACACACACACAGACACACACAGACACAGATAGACACACACAGATAGACACACAGATAGACACACACAGATAGACACACACACAGATAGACACACACAGATAGACACAGACACACACACAGAGATAGACACACACAGATAGACACACACACAGAGATAGACACACACACACAGACACACACAGAGATAGACACACAGACACAGATAGACACACACAGATAGACACACACAGAGATAGACACACACACAGACACAGATAGACACACAGATAGACACACACAGAGATAGACACAGACACAGATAGACACACAGATAGACACACACACAGAGATAGACACACACACAGAGATAGACACACACACAGACACACACAGATAGACACACAAACAGATAGACACAAACAGATAGACACACATACACACAGACACACACACAGATAGACACACACAGATAGACACACAGACACACAGATAGACACACACAGATAGACACACAGACAGACAGATAGACACACAGATAGATACACACACACAGACACACACAGATAGACACAGACACACAGATAGACACACACAGATAGACACACAAACACAGACACACACACAGACACACACACACAGATAGACACACACAGATAGACACACACACTGTGACACACACACACAGTGTGTGTGTCACTGTGTGTGTGTGTGACTGTGTGTGTGTCACTGTGTGTGTCACTGTGTCACTGTGTGTGTGTCACTGTGTGTGTGTGACTGTGTGTGTGTCACTGTGTGTGTGTGACTGTGTGTCACTGTGTGTGTCACTGTGTCACTGTGTGTGTGTCACTGTGTGTGTGTGACTGTGTGTGTGTCACTGTGTGTGTGTGACTGTGTGTCACTGTGTGTGTCACTGTGTCACTGTGTGTGTGTCACTGTGTGTGTCACTGTGTGTGTCACTGTGTGTGTGTCACTGTGTGTGTGTCACTGTGTGTATGTATCACTGTGTGTGTGTGAGTCACTGTGTGTGTGTCACTGTGTGTGTGTCACTGTGTGTGTGTCACTGTATGTATGTGTGTCACTGTGTGTGTGTGTCACTGTGTGTGTCACTGTGTGTGTGTGTGTCACTGTGTGTGTCACTGTGTGTGTCACTGTGTGTGTCACAGTGTGTGTGTGTCACTGTGTGTGTCACAGTGTGTGTGTGTCACTGTGTGTCACTGTGTGTGTGTGTGTGTCACTGTGTGTGTGTGTCACTGTGTGTGTCACTGTGTGTGTGTGTGTGTCACTGTGTGTGTCACTGTGTGTCACTGTGTGTGTGTCACTGTGTGTGTGTCACTGTGTGTGTCACTGTGTGTGTCACTGTGTGTGTGTCACTGTGTGTGTGTGTCACTGTGTGTGTGTGTGTCACTGTGTGTGTCACAGTGTGTGTGTGTCACTGTGTGTCACTGTGTGTGTGTCACTGTGTGTGTGTGTCACTGTGTGTGTCACTGTGTGTGTGTGTGTCACTGTGTGTGTGTGTGTGTCACTGTGTGTGTCACTGTGTGTGTGTCACTGTGTGTGTGTCACTGTGTGTGTGTCACTGTGTGTGTGTCACTGTGTGTGTCACTGTGTGTGTCACTGTGTGTGTGTCACTGTGTGTGTCACTGTGTGTGTCACTGTGTGTGTCACTGTGTGTGTGTCACTGTGTGTGTGTCACTGTGTGTGTCACTGTGTGTGTGTCACTGTGTGTGTGTCACTGTGTGTGTCACTGTGTGTGTGTCACTGTGTGTGTCACTGTGTGTGTGTCACTGTGTGTGTCACTGTGTGTGTGTGTCACTGTGTGTGTGTCACTGTGTGTGTGTCACTGTGTGTGTGTGTCACTGTGTGTGTGTCACTGTGTGTGTCACTGTGTGTGTGTCACTGTGTGTGTGTGTCACTGTGTGAGTGTCAATGTGTGAGTGTCAATGTGTGTGTCACTGTGTGTGTGTCACTGTGTGTGTGTGTCACTGTGTGTGTGTGTCACTGTGTGTGTGTCACTGTGTGTGTGTCACTGTGTCACTGTGTGTGTCACTGTGTGTGTGTCACTGTGTGTGTCACTGTGTGTGTGTGTCACTGTGTGTGTCACTGTGTGTGTCACTGTGTGTGTGTCACTGTGTGTGTGTCACTGTGTGTGTCACTGTGTGTGTGTCACTGTGTGTGTGTCACTGTGTGTGTGTCACTGTGTGTGTGTGTCACTGTGTGTGTGTCACTGTGTGTGTGTCACTGTGTGTGTGTCACTGTGTGTGTGTCACTGTGTGTCACTGTGTGTGTCACTGTGTGTGTCACTGTGTGTGTGTGTGTGTGTCACTGTGTGTGTCACTGTGTGTGTCACTGTGTGTGTGTCACTGTGTGTGTGTCACTGTGTGTGTGTGTCACTGTGTGTGTCACTGTGTGTGTGTCACTGTGTGTGTGTCACTGTGTGTGTGTGTCACTGTGTGTGTCACTGTGTGTGTGTGTGTCACTGTGTCACTGTGTGTGTGTCACTGTGTGTGTCACTGTGTGTGTGTCACTGTGTGTGTCACTGTGTGTGTCACTGTGTGTGTGTCACTGTGTGTGTCACTGTGTGTGTGTCACTGTGTGTCACTGTGTGTGTGTCACTGTGTGTGTCACTGTGTGTGTCACTGTGTGTGTGTGTGTCACTGTGTGTGTGTCACTGTGTGTGTGTCACTGTGTGTGTGTCACTGTGTGTGTGTCACTGTGTGTGTCACTGTGTGTGTCACTGTGTGTGTGTCACTGTGTGTGTCACTGTGTGTGTGTCACTGTGTGTGTGTCACTGTGTGTGTCACTGTGTGTGTGTCACTGTGTGTGTATCACTGTGTGTGTCACTGTGTGTGTCACTGTGTGTGTCACTGTGTGTGTGTCACTGTGTGTGTGTCACTGTGTGTGTCACTGTGTGTGTCACTGTGTGTGTGTGTCACTGTGTGTGTCACTGTGTGTGTGTGTCACTGTGTGTGTCACTGTGTGTGTGTGTCACTGTGTGTGTGTCACTGTGTGTGTGTCACTGTGTGTGTGTCACTGTGTGTGTGTCACTGTGTGTGTGTGTGTCACTGTGTGTGTGTCACTGTGTGTGTGTGTGTCACTGTGTGTGTGTCACTGTGTGTCACTGTGTGTGTCACTGTGTGTGTCACTGTGTGTGTCACTGTGTGTGTGTGTCACTGTGTGTGTCACTGTGTGTGTGTGTCACTGTGTGTGTCACTGTGTGTGTGTGTGTCACTGTGTGTGTGTCACTGTGTGTGTGTGTGTCACTGTGTGTGTGTCACTGTGTGTGTGTCACTGTGTGTGTGTCACTGTGTGTGTGTGTGTCACTGTGTGTGTCACTGTGTGTGTCACTGTGTGTCACTGTGTGTGTCACTGTGTGTGTGTGTCACTGTGTGTGTCACTGTGTGTGTGTGTGTCACTGTGTGTGTGTCACTGTGTGTCACTGTGTGTGTCACTGTGTGTCACTGTGTGTGTCACTGTGTGTGTGTGTGTCACTGTGTGTGTCACTGTGTGTGTCACTGTGTATGTCACTGTGTGTGTGTCACTGTGTGTGTGTCACTGTGTGTGTCACTGTGTGTGTTCACTGTGTGTGTTGTGTCACTGTGTGTGTCACTGTGTGTGTGTCACTGTGTGTGTGTCACTGTGTGTGTCACTGTGTGTGTCACTGTGTGTGTCACTGTGTGGTGTCACTGTGTGTGTCACTGTGTGTGTCACTGTGTGTGTGTCACTGTGTGGTGTCACTGTGTGTGTGTCACTGTGTGTGTCACTGTGGTGTGTCACTGTGTGTGTGTCACTGTGTGTTGTCACTGTGTGTGTCACTGTGTGGTCACGTGTGTGTGTGTCACTGTGTGTGTCACTGTGTGTGTGTCCACTGTGTGTGTCACTGTGTGTGTGTCACTGTGGTGTCACTTGTGTGTGTCACTGTGTGTGTGTCACTGTGTGTGTCACTGTGTGTGTCACTGTGTGTTCACTGTGTGTGTCACTGTGTGTTGTCACTGTGGTGTGTCACTGTGTGTGTGTCACTGTGTGTGTCACTGTGTGTGTCACTGTGTGTGTCACTGTGTGTGTGTGTCACTGTGTGTGTCACTGTGTGTGTCACTGTGTGTCACTGTGTGTGTCACTGTGTGTGTCACTGTGTGTGTCACTGTGTGTCACTGTGTGTGTGTCACTGTGTGTGTCACTGTGTGTGTGTCACTGTGTGTGTCACTGTGTGTCACTGTGTGTCACTGTGTGTGTCACTGTGTGTGTCACTGTGTGTCACTGTGTGTGTCACTGTGTGTGTGTGTGTCACTGTGTGTGTCACTGTGTGTGTCACTGTGTGTGTGTCACTGTGTGTGTGTGTGTCACTGTGTGTGTGTCACTGTGTGTGTGTCACTGTGTGTGTGTGTCACTGTGTGTGTGTGTGTCACTGTGTGTGACACACTGTGTGTCACTGTGTGTGTGTCACTGTGTGTGACACACTGTGTGTGTCACTGTGTGTGTGTGTGTCACTGTGTGTGTCACTGTGTGTGTCACTGTGTGTGTCACTGTGTATGTGTCACTGTGTGTGTGTCACTGTGTGTGTGTGTCACTGTGTGTGTGTGTCACTGTGTGTGTCACTGTGTGTGTCACTGTGTGTGTCACTGTGTGTGTCACTGTGTATGTGTCACTGTGTGTGTGTCACTGTGTGTGTGTGTCACTGTGTGTGTCACTGTGTGTGTCACTGTGTGTGTCACTGTGTGTGTCACTGTGTGTGTCACTGTGTATGTGTCACTGTGTGTGTGTCACTGTGTGTGTGTGTCACTGTGTGTGTGTGTCACTGTGTGTGTCACTGTGTGTGTGTCACTGTGTGTGTCACTGTGTGTGTGTCACTGTGTGTGTCACTGTGTGTGTGTCACTGTGTGTGTGTCACTGTGTGTGTGACACTGTGTGTGTCACTGTGTGTGTCACTGTGTGTCACTGTGTGTGTGACACTGTGTGTGTGTCACTGTGTGTGTCACTGTCACTGTGTGTGTGTCACTGTGTGTGTGTGTGTCACTGTGTGTGTCACTGTGTGTGTCACTGTGTGTGTCACTGTGTGTGTCACTGTGTGTGTGTGTCACTGTGTGTGTCACTGTGTGTGTGTCACTGTGTGTGTGTCACTGTGTGTGTGTCACTGTGTGTGTCACTGTGTGTGTCACTGTGTGTGTGTCACTGTGTGTGTGTGTCACTGTGTGTGTCACTGTGTGTGTCACTGTGTGTGTCACTGTGTGTGTCACTGTGTGTCACTGTGTGTGTGTCACTGTGTGTGTCACTGTGTGTGTGTCACTGTGTGTGTCACTGTGTGTGTGTCACTGTGTGTGTCACTGTGTGTGTCACTGTGTGTGTGTCACTGTGTGTGTCACTGTGTGTGTGTCACTGTGTGTGTCACTGTGTGTGTGTGTGTGTCACTGTGTGTGTCACTGTGTGTGTGTCACTGTGTGTGTCACTGTGTGTGTGTCACTGTGTGTGTCACTGTGTGTGTGTGTGTCACTGTGTGTGTCACTGTGTGTGTGTCACTGTGTGTGTCACTGTGTGTGTGTGTGTCACTGTGTGTGTCACTGTGTGTGTGTCACTGTGTGTGTCACTGTGTGTGTGTCACTGTGTGTGTCACTGTGTGTGTCACTGTGTGTGTGTCACTGTGTGTGTCACTGTGTGTGTGTCACTGTGTGTGTCACTGTGTGTGTCACTGTGTGTGTGTCACTGTGTGTGTCACTGTGTGTGTGTCACTGTGTGTGTCACTGTGTGTGTCACTGTGTGTGTGTCACTGTGTGTGTCACTGTGTGTGTCACTGTGTGTGTCACTGTGTGTGTCACTGTGTGTGTCACTCTGTGTGTCACTGTGTGTGTGTCACTGTGTGTGTCACTGTGTGTGTGTCACTGTGTGTGTCACTGTGTGTGTCACTGTGTGTGTCACTGTGTGTGTGTGTCACTGTGTGTGTGTGTCACTGTGTGTGTCACTGTGTGTGTCACTGTGTGTGTGTGTCACTGTGTGTGTGTGTCACTGTGTGTGTCACTGTGTGTGTCACTGTGTGTGTGCCACTGTGTGTGTGTCACTGTGTGTGTCACTGTGTGTGTGTCACTGTGTGTGTCACTGTGTGTGTGTCACTGTGTGTGTGTGTGTCACTGTGTGTGTCACTGTGTGTGTCACTGTGTGTGTCACTGTGTGTGTGTCACTGTGTGTGTCACTGTGTGTGTCACTGTGTGTGTCACTGTGTGTGTCACTGTGTGTGTCACTGTGTGTGTCACTGTGTGTCACTGTGTGTGTCACTGTGTGTGTCACTGTGTGTGTCACTGTGTGTCACTGTGTGTATCACTGTGTGTGTGTCACTGTGTGTGTGTCACTGTGTGTGTGTCACTGTGTGTGTGTCACTGTGTGTGTGTGTCACTGTGTGTGTCACTGTGTGTGTCACTGTGTGTGTGTGTGTCACTGTGTGTGTGTCACTGTGTGTGTCACTGTGTGTGTCACTGTGTGTGTCACTGTGTGTGTCACTGTGTGTGTCACTGTGTGTCACTGTGTGTGTGTCACTGTGTGTGTCACTGTGTGTGTCACTGTGTGTGTCACAGCGGGGTTCTCGTTCCCGGTGGCTTTGGGATCCGTGGCACGGAGGGGAAGATCTCAGCTGTGTCGTGGGCACGGAAAAACAACAAACCCTTTTTAGGTGACACTCACACACAGTGACACACACACAGTGACACACATACTCACACACAGTGACACACACACAGTGACACACACACAGTGACACACACAGTGACACACACACAGTGACACACACACACACACAGTGACACACACACAGTGACACACACACAGTGACACACACACAGTGACACACACAGTGACACACACACACAGTGACACACACACACAGTTACACACACACAGTGACACACACACAGTGACACACACAGTGACACACACACAGTGACACACACACAGTGACACACACAGTGACACACACACACAGTGACACACACACAGTGACACACACAGTGACACACACAGTGACACACACACACACAGTGACACACACACACAGTGACACACACACAGTGACACACACACAGTGACACACACAGTGACACACACACAGTGACACACACACAGTGACACACACAGTGACACACACAGTGACACACACACAGTGACACACACAGTGACACACACACAGTGACACACACAGAGTGACACACACAGTGACACACACAGTGACACACACACAGTGACACACACACACACAGTGACACACACACAGTGACACACACAGTGACACACACAGTGACACACACACAGTGACACACACAGTGACACACACAGTGACACACACAGTGACACACACACAGTGACACACACACAGTGACACACACACAGTGACACACACACAGTGACACACACAGTGACACACACACAGTGACACACACAGTGACACACACAGTAACACACACAGTGACACACACAGTGACACACACAGTGACACACACAGTGACACACACAGTAACACACACAGTGACACACACACAGTGACACACACAGTGACACACACACAGTGACACACACACACAGTGACACACACACAGTGACACACACACACAGTGACACACACACAGTGACACACACACAGTGACACACACAGTGACACACACACACAGTGACACACACACAGTGACACACACAGTGACACACACAGTGACACACACACAGTGACACACACAGTGACACACACACAGTGACACACACACAGTGACACACACACACACAGTGACACACACACACACAGTGACACACACACAGTGACACACACAGTGACACACACAGTGACACACACACAGTGACACACACAGTGACACACACACACAGTGACACACACAGTGACACACACAGTGACACACACACAGTGACACACACACAGTGACACACACACACAGTGACACACACAGTGACACACACAGTAACACACACAGTGACACACACACAGTGACACACACAGTGACACACACAGTGACACACACACAGTGACACTCACACACACAGAGATACACACACAGTGACACACACACAGTGACACACACACGCAGACACACACACAGATACACACACACAGATACACACACACAGAGACAGACACACACACACAGACACACACACACAGAGACACACACAGAGACACACACAAACACTCAACAACAACAACCGCCATTCGCCACTAAGTGGCGGTGACGTCACCACGACGCTTGTGCCAGGCTATGTGCACCCTGAGGCCACGTGAAGTGTCGAACGCCCGCTGGCAGGAGGTCACGGGGCAGACCCAGCAGGTGCCACGGGTCGACTGACTGAGATGACTGGCTGATGCACCACCTGTGCCCCCTACTGTGCCAACCTGCTGTGCTTTAGCCACCCGGCGCTCCGCTCGTTGTTGTGAGCGTCGCTCCTCCGCCCTCCGTTGTTGTTGGAGGGCGACTGCCTCCAACTGCCCAGTAGCATCCTTCACAAGCCTCCTCCACAGAGGCCGATCTTGACACCGCTGGTACCAGTCATCGGCAAGTCCACTCAGCTCCACGTCCTCCTGTACCACATCACTCCATCTCTTCTCTATCCATTTAGCCCCCTCGATCCGGCCGAACAAAAGCTGATGTTCATGATGATGTTGATGATGATTATGATGATGTTGGTGATGATCATGATGATGTTGATGATGATTATGATGTTGATGATGATGATGTTGATGTTGGTGATGTTGATGGTGTTTATGTCCCCAGGAGTTTGTCTGGGTATGCAGCTTGCAGTGATTGAGTTTGCAAGACATCAGCTGGGATGGACAGGTACAGAATATCACAACGACATCACCACCATCAGCAACATCAACAACATCACCACCTCCACCATCACCTCCACCATCACCACCATCGCCACCATCAACAACATCAACACCATCACCACCACCATCAAAATCACCACCATCACCATCACAACCACCATCACCTCCACCACCATCAACACCATCACCACCACCATCACAACCACCATCACCACCATCACCACCATCACCACCATCACCACCACCACCATCATCACCATCACAACCACCACCATCACCACCACCATCACAACCATCATCACCACCACCATCACAACCACCACCACCATCACAACCACCACCACCATCACCACCATCACCACCACCACCATCACCACCACCATCATCACCATCACCACCATCATCACAATCACAACCACCACCATCACCACCACCATCACCACCATCACCACCACCACCATCACCACCATCACCACCACCACCATCATCACCATCACAACCACCACCATCACCACCACCATCACAACCATCATCACCACCACCATCACAACCACCACCACCATCACAACCACCACCACCATCACCACCACCACCATCACCACCACCATCATCACCATCACCACCACCACCATCATCACAATCACAACCACCACCATCACAACCACCACCACCACCATCACCACCACCATCACCACCACCATCACCACCACCATCACCACCACCATCACAACCACCATCACCACCACCATCAAAATCACCACCATCACCATCACAACCACCATCACCTCCACCACCATCAACACCATCACCACCACCATCACAACCACCATCACCACCATCACCACCATCACCACCATCACCACCACCACCATCATCACCATCACAACCACCACCATCACCACCACCATCACAACCATCATCACCACCACCATCACCACCACCACCACCATCACAACCACCACCACCATCACCACCATCACCACCACCACCATCACCACCACCATCATCACCATCACCACCATCATCACAATCACAACCACCACCATCACCACCACCATCACCACCATCACCACCACCACCATCACCACCATCACCACCACCACCATCATCACCATCACAACCACCACCATCACCACCACCATCACAACCATCATCACCACCACCATCACAACCACCACCACCATCACAACCACCACCACCATCACCACCACCACCATCACCACCACCATCATCACCATCACCACCACCACCATCATCACAATCACAACCACCACCATCACAACCACCACCACCACCATCACCACCACCATCACCACCACCATCACCACCACCATCACCACCACCATCACAACCACCATCATCATCACCACCACCACCATCACAATCACCACCACCATCATCACCACCACCATCACTCACCACCACCACCATTACCACCACCATCACAACCACCATCACCTCCACCACCACCACCATCACCACCACCATCACCTCCATCATCCCCTGTGTTAATCACTGTAGGTGACGCCGCTGATGATGATGATACTAATACTACTGCTGATGATGATGATACTACTGATGATGATACTAATGATGATACTACTACTGATGATGATACTACTACTACTGATGATGATGATACTACTACTGATGATGATGGTGATACTACTACTAATGATGATGATACTACTGATGATGATGATACTACTGATGATGATACTACTGATGATGATACTACTACTGATGTTGGTTGTGAATGTTTTTCTTTTTTCAGATGCAAATTCCACGGAGTTTGACCCAGATACCAAACATCCAGTGGTGAGAATCATCATCAGTAGTAGTAGTATCATTAGTAGTAGTATCATCATCATCAGTAGTAGTAGTATCATTAGTAGTAGTATCATCATCAGTAGTAGTAGTAGTATCATTAGTAGTATCATCATCATCAGTAGTAGTATCATCATTAGTAGTAGTATCATTTTCAGTAGTAGTAGTATCATTAGTAGTAGTATCATCATCATCAGTAGTAGTAGTAGTATCATTAGTAGTAGTATCATCATCAGTAGTATGATCAGTAGTAGTAGTATCATCATCAGTAGTAGTATCATCAGTAGTAGTATCATCATCATCAGTAGTAGTAGTATCATTAGTAGTAGTATCATCATCAGTAGTAGTATCATCATCAGTAGTAGTATCATCATCATCAGTAGTAGTAGTATCATTAGTAGTAGTAGTATCATCATCATCATCAGTAGTATCATCATCAGTAGTAGTATCATCATCAGTAGTAGTATCATCATCAGTAATAGTAGTATCATCATCATCAGTAGTAGTATCATCATCATCAGTAGTAGTAGTATCATTAGTAGTAGTATCATCATCAATAGTATCATCAGTAGTAGTATCATCATCAGTAGTAGTATCATCATTAGTAGTAGTAGCATCATCATCAGTAATAGTATAATCATCATCAGTAGTAGTATCATCATCAGTAGTAGTATCATCATCAGTAGTAGTAGTAGTATCATCATCATCATCAGTAGTAGTAGTATCATTAGTAGTAGTATCATCAGTAGTAGTATCATCCTCATCAGTAGTAGTAGTATCATTAGTAGTAGTATCATCATCATCATCATCAGTAGTATCATCATCAGTAGTAGTATCATCATCAGTAGTATCATCATCATTAGTAGTAGTATCATCATCAGTAGTAGTATCATCATCAGTAGTAGTAGTATCATCATCATCAGTAGTAGTATCATCATCAGTAGTAGTAGTATCATTAGTAGTAGTAGTATCATCAGTAGTAGTATCATCATCATCAGTAGTAGTATCATTAGTAGTAGTATCATCATCAGTAGTATCATCAGTAGTAGTATCATCATCATCATCAGTAGTAGTATCATCATTAGTAGTAGTAGTAGTATCATCATCAGTAATAGTATAATCATCATCGGTAGTAGTATCATCATCATTGGTAGTAGTGGTATCATCAGTAGTAGTATCGTCATCAGTGGTAGTATCATCATCGGTAGTAGTATCATCATCATTGGTAGTAGTAGTATCATTAGTAGTAGTAGCATCATCAGTAGTATCATCAGTAGTAGTAGTATCATCATCATCAATAGTAGTATCATCATTAGTAGTAGTAGTATCATCATCATCAATAGTAGTATCATCATTAGTAGTAGTAGTATCATCATCATCATCAGTAGTAGTAGTATCATCATTAGTAGTAGTAGCATCATCATCAGTAGCAGTATCATCATTCGTAGTAGTAGTATCATCATCAGTAGTAGTATCGTCATCAGTAGTAGTATCAGCACTGTGTGGGTGAGTGAGTGAGTGGTAAGTGAGTGGGTGAGTGAGTGGTGAGTGAGTGGTGAGTGAGTGGTGAGTGAGTGGTGAGTGATTGGTGAGTGAGTGGTGAGTGTGTGAGTGGTGAGTGAGTGGTGAGTGAGTGGTGAGTGAGTGGTGAGTGGTTTTCCAGGTGGTGGACATGCCAGAACATAACCCAGGTGACATGGGTGGGACCATGAGACTGGGAAAGCGAACAACAATCTTCAAGACTTCAAACTCTGTACTGCGTGAGTCACCCACTCACCACTCACTCACTCACTCACCACTCACTCACTCACCCAGTCACTCACCACTCACTCACCCACTCACTCACTCACCACTCACCCAGTCACTCCCCCACTCACTCACCACTCACTCACTCACCCAGTCACTCACCACTCACTCACCCACTCACTCACTCACCCACCCACTCACTCACCACTCACTCACTCACCCACTCAC